GAAGAAAATATAGGATAATATAAAGAGTCTTTGGTTGTTGATCTGAGGCATGCATATTCACTTCCATTTATACTCTTGGTTTAGTTTTTTGAGTTGTATTGTCAACTGTTCATCTTTAATCTTTCTTGAAAAATAGTTATGCATTGATAGCATCTGTAGTTCTATCCCACTTCTGCAATCTCAAAATAAACTGTAGTTTGGAATTCCAAGTTACTTTTGATTTGATGATTAACAGGTATAGCTAGTTAACAGCTGTATTTTGTCTGTGCAAAGGGCTTCTTGCTAGTAATATTGTTATAGTTGTTATTCTGTGGCATATTGTGTTTACATTCAAAGCCCCTTCCTTAAAATAAGTACAATAAAGCTGCTTTGAAGTTCTAGATGGATCATTTGTGGCAATAACATAATTTAAGAAAAGCATGCATTGTCGGTAATTCTCTTTTGGGATTAGATTTTCATGAAATCCTGCAAGCACCTGTTTATGGCGATGATTTGTGCAACGTATGATAGTTCATTGAAGATAATCAAACAATTTCACTAGTGGATAATTCACCTGATTCCTGTACATCTGTTAAACACTATCTCATTTTGGATTTACCTTATTTACCTTTTGCTTCTGGCTTTTGCAGCGAGAAAGATGGCAAAAGCCTGTTCTACGGCGTTTGCAGGTCAGTTGCATTTTTGTTCCATTGAGGAGTTGACAAAGTTTTAGTAGATTGATGTAGATGGGTATTTGTGTAAATATTAGTTCTTTTCTTTTCACTCTTGTACTTATCCTTCTCCAGTTTCATCCATTGCTTTTCTATTCTTCTTATTGCTTTTGCATTGTGTATTTTTGAATTTTGGCCAGGGAGTGTTGGGTTTTGGGTATGTTGTTTGGTGCTTTGAAGTTTAAATGTTGCAAGGATTCAGAAATTTCTCTCTTGCTTGGTTGCTGCAGTCTTGATCTAAATTACGTTATTCTGTGCTGCATGGTTATCATTGCTGAGCTGTAACTGATGTTGCCAGAGTTCAATATTCCCTTTAGTTCCTGATACCCACAACTTGAGCAAAAGTCAGTGCATTGAATTATAGTTTGAATAACCATATCTTGATACACAAAAAATCCAAGTTTTCCGTCTCAGACCCATTCTTGCTGAAGACTCGTAATGTTATTAAGCAACAGACTGCACAAGTCAAAATTTATCTTGATTTTACAGCTTGTTGAGGTATAAAAGAATAGTGACGTATCATTTGTGGAGTGGTTTTATTGAATGTGTTTTAGATGCCTTTGAAAGATAACCCTTTGGGTAGTATTTTCTTTGCCAAATTTAAGTTTGCTTGTATACTCTAGTGTCTTAGAATTTCAACAGAGGCCTGTTACATTTGATAATTGGGATTCAATAGTGCCTTTCTGCATTTTATTTATGTTGGCGCATTGCTTTATTGTTATTGAATGACAATTATTTCCTGCATTCTGTCTTACAGCCACCTCCTCCAGTTAATGACACCAATCCCTATAATGTGTTTAGGCCGAGGGAGAAAGCTCACAGACTTCACACGAGGAGGGTAAATCCTCTGCTTGCTTTACCAGTTGATTTGACCTAGACAGTTAAGTTTTGGTTTGTATCAATTTCTCAGTTTGTGGCAAGAGAAATTTGACAGGTGGAATTTTTTCATGTCCACTTATTACCTTTTTAGATGCAAAGGAGGGAAAACAATGTGCAGTCGTTTGAAAAGCTTCGTCAGGTTAGCAGCCTGACACTGTAGCATGGTCATATCTTTTCTTTGCATTTTGTGCTTGATAGCTCGTATGGAAACATCTGTTCTTTGTTTTAGTTTTTTTTTTCCCCATCTCCTTGCTTATCTAAAGGCCATATATTCTATGTGATGATACTGTACTTCTGCCTGCACTCCTATCCGTATGTTTGTATGCTGCTTGCTTCTCTCTGGCGAACAATATATTTATGGATCATGGATGTTACTGTGACAAACTATAGATCTTTGTAACTCATTAACATATGTATGGGCGTGCTACTATCTGCTACTTAACTAAGCCAATATACATATTGCCCAATCCCTGTGGTTGGCGGGCTGCATAAGCAGTTCTGTGCAGTTTAGTGATGCATAATGTTTGAAAAGTAATTCTGTCCAAGCATATTGGATTGCTTAATATATTAGAAAATGAAAAAAGAGCAATTGTAGGTTTAACAATATTGTCGAGGTATGAAGGTCACTCTCTGGCGTCATCATTGAAAGATTTGGGTTAAAATAGCTAAACCATAACTGTCTATTCCTGTAATTGAACCTCTATTTGAAGTATTTTGGTCTATACATCTTTGTAATATTGTTCATACTACTATTTTGACATTGTAGTTGTTTGGTTAATGTGTTCTTTGATTGACTGTTTCAGGTCAGACGCAATCTTGAACAAGCAAAAACCATATTGGATGCTTTGGTCAGGGTATGTTTTGCCAGCTGTCGACTTTGAAATATTACATGTAAAATTAGGATCAAACATGCCTTTGAATATCTATATCCAGACAATTCTAATTTGTCCAACATGATTTTGTATAGAGAGAAGAGAAGAAAAGAGATGTTATGGAGAGCGAGGTTAGCCTTCAAAGGATTCAAATGAAGTACAAGGTAAGAATTGACTCATTTGCATTTCCAACACATGTCACAGATGCTAGTTGCTTAATTATTTATATACCAAAAGTTAATTTCACCGTTAATTAGTTATGTACCAAAAGTTAATCCCACCACTAAAAGTTCCTATCTGCAATGAGGATTGAGGAGGCAGCATGCTGCTCAAATTTTATGACACGAGGCCTTTCTCAAGATCTTTGTACAGCCCTCATATATGGTGCTAGGGAGTAGGGGATCGTAAAGTATGGCTGTTAGAGATGAAAGCTCATTTTGTTATTTTGAATCTTCACTTAGCATGTCAATTTAGAGTCTGGAGTCTAGAGAGTGTTGCATAACATGGTTTTCTATGTCTGAAAACTGCATGGTCATTCCCTTTTATCACTGAGGTTCTTCTCAGTTGACTTTGGGCATATCTCTATGACCCGTCATTCTCTCTTGTGCGACCTAGTTCATGACTTCATATATGGAAAGAGACAAGTTCAGAGATATGAATGGCAAGATGCAGGCAATGAGCCTTCGAAGCCTGAGTTTGCCGTTCATTGCTTTTGCACTGTTCTTGCATCTAAAAAATGGTTGAGAATGGAATTGCCTTCTAGGCTTCCGTGCAGTCATTGAGGAAAAATTTCAAAATATCTCGCTGTGTGCATGCTTGAGATTCTTTCTGCCGTTTTAGCACATTGTAGATGAGTTTGACTTTTGATAGTACATTTCTGAACATACAATTATGTTACTACTCACTTGTTAGCTTTATCCCTAACAATGTACGCATGATCGATATTTTAAACTTTATCGGCCCATTTACAAGAAATCAAGTTGTGTTTTGAGTCAAGTAACTGATAGTGACTGGTTTCGGTATTTTCAGAATGAAACCGAGCTTCTTGAAGACAGTTTGGCCCTGCCAGGATTGCCATCATTCCCCAGCAAGGTGGTGTCAAGTGAAGAGGAATTTGTTGATTCTGACGATGTTGCTAACAGTCGTCCACACCTGCGGCCTGTGGCTGCACAAAATCCACCTTTTATGGATTCAAAACTGGTAATGGCTTCTGCAGCAAGCACAAGGCGGGATGTCAAACGGCAAAATGGATGGCTGAATAAATTGGTACTTGCCCTGTAGTCTAAACCAGTAATTGTCTCCTAAATGTTCTTCCTCTTAATCACCTCAAATATTTCCTTGCCCTTGTTGGTTGAGCTAAAAGATTTTAGTAACAGTTGCAGCAGCCATTCCTGCTACCCAGCCCCCTTCACCACCCCCCTTTCCTCTCCCCAGCCACACTCCCCCCCCCCCCCCCCCACCCAAAAAAAAAAAAAAAAGCTTATCTGATATGGTAAGTTACTAAAATCTTCTTTTGGGATAAATACAGGATCCAGATGAGCCAGTTATGTTGTTTACAAAGCCCCTAGATCCAGAAAAGTTGGCTGCTGCTGGCATTGTTCCACCACAGGCTTCTTTAATACCAGACGGAGAATCTACACCATCAGTCAACTTTCCCAGTTTCCGTGGAAGAATTGGACGTGGGGGTCGAATTATTTTTGATAGATGCAACCCTCATATGCTTACTCCACCTGACTCTGGTGAAACTTGCTATGTACCGCCAAAACCCCGACAGGCTGTAAATCCTTGATTTTGTCACTACTGTTTCTTTGGTAAAGGTGCCTCCATCCTTGATTTGTTGATGATGGCTGAGATACATGAGTAGCGCCTGGACTTAGTTGCTTTCAACGCCTGTTTACTGGCATTTTATGTAGGCAGCCAGTTCTCCTGCCTTCTTGTAGGCAGTGATCAGGAGATAATTCCTTCTTGGAGGAGTATGCTTTTTCATTTACCTTTGCCAATTGTACAATGGTTCCGGTGAGGATGAAAGGGAAAAAGGGCCTCTATTTTTTTTTTCCTCTCTCTCTCTCTCTCTCTTTCTTTAGTGTAGGCTTAGATAGTGAGGTAGTTGTTCAAATTGACTTCCTGCTTTGATAGCTTTTTACCCAAATGTATGGTGGTGTTGTAAATTTTATGGATGAAGTGAAGACAAATAAGTTAAAAATAGATAGGGTTGTTTCAAACTTGTATAAATTTGTGGCTTTCTGAATCAGGCATATCGTCTTTTTAATCTTTTCATGGATGTAAAGGGTGATTGCAGCTTGGGAAGCTTGTTTGGCCTTACTATCAACAATGCTTCAGGCATGTCGGTGTCTTGGCTACTATACTACCCCTGCTGATAAGCATGTGGTCTAATTTGGCCAGCTTATTGCTTCATTTAAATCATCTCTGGGTAGATCTTTGTTGTTAGTGGGGTGACCTTGCAGAATGTGTAACCTCTCTTGCAGTATCCTTCGTCGTAAGCCAAAAGAAACTGCTGTGGCCTTACCTTTTTTTTTTTTTTTAATCGTCATTTTGTATATATTATCTATTTCTATTCTAGTCCTTCTGTGGCCTTACTTAAGGATGGTGGGTTGGTGCCTTGCTACAGTCTCAGGGCTAAGGTTTGCACTGACAAGCCTCTTACGTTGGAAAATGGGACGCAAAGTGGCTGCCATTTTTGTTTCATCGAGAAAGGAAACTAGCAAGTGTATGTCATGTCGGCTTTGTTCGTTGCTTGGCAATCTTGAACTCTCCTCTCTTCCTTCATTCCGAAATATTCTTTACCTCAGGATGTTCAGCTTCTCTAGTCTTCTGCCCCTCATTCCACAGTGTTCGGAGTCATATAAAATCTCATTAAACAGCGTATATAAATAAATGCATGTTAAACTTCTATACATCTTTCATCGCATTCCGCCATTTTTCTCAAGCTGATAACACTAATTGCTACGAGTTTACAGGCAAAAATACGCGATTAAGATCTGTCCATGGCGGCAGGGGAGCCCCGGTCTTTCGAATACACACCAACATGGGTTGTGACCGTCGTCTGCTTTATCATTGTTCTCATATCTCTCGGGGCTGAGCGGGGTCTTCATCGACTCGGAAAGGTATCCAAAATCTTCCTTGCTCGCAAGAAAATCCGTTTTTCCAACTTAGCGTTCGGCCTATTTATTCTGATTGTCTGTTGTTTTGGATTCAGTTGTTCAAGCACAGGAAGCTACACTCGTTGTATGAGGCATTAGAGAAGGTCAAGGGAGGTCTGTGACTGTTAATTAAGTATCCCAGAATTTCTGATCAACAGCAGTATTCACAACTTTGCCTTACGATGCATGTGCTGTTTTCCTTTCCATTGTTGCAGAATTGATGCTTTTGGGGTTTATTTCCTTACTCTTGACGGTGTTTCAAGCTCTAATAAGCCATCTCTGCATTCCTCATGATTCTGCAAACATCATGCTCCCATGCAAGCTTAAAACTGGGGCATCCTCTGGTGGTTCTGAGCATCTTGACATCGCAAAACATGGGAGGAGGCTTTTGGCTGAGGATGTGAGCTTGGAAACTTGTGCACGCCAGGTATCATCATGTTTCCCCAAAAAAAAAAAAAACTTTCTGGTCTAAATGCAGAGAATTCATGCATACATGGGTTCCATTCTACTACTCAAATTAAGAAGATAATTTCCAAGTTTGTATGTTTGTGGTTTCAATTGTTTTTTTTTTTTTCTTTTCTTGTTTATATGTTGGATTACATTTACAGGGAAAACTCCCACTGTTGTCGCTGGAAGCATTGCATCAGCTTCACATCTTCATATTTGTGTTGGCTGTGGTTCATGTGGTCTTCTGTGTTACCACCATGCTTCTAGGAGGAGCAAAGGTACTGCATTCGAAGCTCGTTGTACAATAACATGAAAATCATGCAGTCCCGCTGGAATTTTTGTTGCCTCTGTTCGGAAGATAAGTTGCAAAGTGAATTTAACGGCGTCAAATGGTATAATTAGTCTGGTCGAAAAGCTAAAATACCCCTCAGTGAAAAAAAAAATGAAAGATATTTAGTATGTGTGTTTTAATTTATCTTTTGGTTATCCATTCCGAAAAATCTGAATTACACACTAAAAATTTCTAGTTTGGTAAAAGTTGTGTTCCGACGACTGCATCAAATATGATCTCAAATCTTGCGGCTTAAATTATCTATACATCTTCCGGAGAAGTTACAGTAGTTTTTCAGAGTGCAAATCCCATATTCGATCTATATATTTAATCAAACAAAGTGAATTGTTGGTTTTTGTCTAAATTTAGCAATTTTTTTTTTTTTAAATTCATAAACTTGATCTCATCGTAGATAAGACTATGGAAGCACTGGGAGAATTCAATTAGAAGCGAGACATCACAACCACATAGGGGTAATTTTTCTGGCAAATTATTACTTTCTTTATAAACAAAATTATGCTTTTAAATAGCAATTACTAGCAGCTATTTAAGAATTATATATATTCTACCAAGAATTATTTGGCTCCGTTGGTCTAAAAAACAATTTTATTTTATTTTTTTTTTGGTGGGGTTTGTTGCACTTTTCGTTGTTGCAGCTCATGCAATTCATATCCACCACCACCGAATATTCAAGGAGAGAGCGGGGAGATATTGGAGAAAGTTTGCTGTTGTGAGTTGGGTGGTGAGTTTCTTTACCCTCTTCATTAATGAGTTGTACTAAAAATAATTTGACTTATCCATGTTAAATATTTAGCTTTAGAACCCATTGTCATATGATAGTACATTTTACCTGCTCATTGTAAATATCATTTACTAGAAGAAGTAGTTAGTTTAGGGGTTAATTACTTTTGCCTCCCTTATAATTTGGCCATCCCAGACAAAATATACCAGCAATTAAAATACCCAATTCTTTTATTCTAACATTGAATAACCCTGAAAAACTAGGGAAATTCTCTTTTTTCCTATGAATTTTCTTCTAAGTCTATGGCAGATTTTCTTGATCCTATCACGTTCCGCTAAAAATTGGCAAATGAATGATCCATATTTGAGAAGATGTCTCTCATATTTGAGAAGGCATTTAATTACTTAAATTGAGTAAAAATGGACCACGTATTATCGTTTATGATTACTATCTATCTTCTCCGGAGATATATTGACTAAAAACGAACCATACATATATATATATATATATATATATATATATATATATATATATATATATATATATATATATATATATATATATATTTTGGTGGGAAACATCATTTTGAGATGCATTTTCTCTTGATTTAATTTGTCTATGGCTTGGTGAAGTAACTTCCAATCTTTCATCTCATACAAAATTTTTTTGTTGGTCCAAAATCTTTTGCAGGTATCGTTCTTCAAGCAGTTTTATGGCTCAGTCACCAAGTCAGACTACATTGCTTTGCGAAGAGGATTTATACGTGTACAATTATCAATTAACATTGCTCTGATTCAAACATGTAATTTCTGGTGTAAACAAATATTTTTGTTCCATCATTCTTCATTGTGTGTGCTGTCCACCTCTCTTGCTTTCAGGCTCATTGTCCCTCCATGCCTCACTTCGATTTTCACACTTACATGATGCGAACCCTCGAACAGGACTTCAAGAAAATAGTTGGTATAAGGTATGACTAGCTGCCTACCTATACACATTCAACTTCTCATATTCTAGACTATAATGAAAAGTCATTCCAACAATGTTGATGCCTGATCCTTAACAACAGCTGGTACTTGTGGGTCTTTGTAATGGTCTTTTTGTTGATGGATTTGGCAGGTATGTCAAATTCTTCTTTGGTTTCTGTATTTCATTCTTGTCATGACCACATTTGGAAAATTTATATTGATCCTGCCCTTCTGTGCATGGTTAATTGCTGCAGGGTGGCACTCGTACTTCTGGCTATCATTCTTGCCTTTAGCAGTGAGTAAATCAACTTAATTTACCCCCTTAAATAGCTGTTACCTGCTCAGTTCATGCAGCTACTAAGGTTTTCATGAGGTTCAAATTGCAGCTATTACTTCTCGTGGGTGCTAAATTAGAGCACATAATTACTGAATTAGCTCAAGAGGTTGCAGAGAAAAGGAATGGAGAAGCTGATGCTGCACCGGTGAAGCCTTCTGATGAACTTTTTTGGTTTCATAGCCCAAATCTTTTCCTATACTTGATTCACTTCATATTGTTTCAAAATTCATTCGAGATTGCTTTTCTTTTTTGGGTTTGGGTAAGTGAGTTGATAATTTTTGCTGATTGATGCATTGTTCTTGATCATGCGGAACAACTTCCAAGTGTACTAACCCAAACCCGTTTCATCACCCTCCAGACCACATATGGGTTCAAATCATGCATTATGGAAGAATTGGGATTTATTATCCCAAGACTTGCAATAGGGTAATTACTAGGAAATGAGAAAAATAAATATTATAGCTTCCCTGCCCTTATTTTGTCCATTGACAAATATTTATTCATCGATGCAGGATACTTGTCCAAGTTCTTTGCAGTTACAGTACCTTACCTTTATATGCTTTAGTCACACAGGTACTATAAATTAAGAATGATACTACTGATGTCGAACTAAAAATTTTATATCTTTTTCCTAACTATTTATTTTTGTTTATTTATTATATTATAGATGGGTAGCATGTTTAAGCAAACCATGTTCGATGAATACATACACCAGCTTATTTTGAAATGGGCAAGGAGGACACCTAGTTCCGCCGCCGGTGAAAGTCACAGGTTGGCCAGCCAATCTACGGAGAGCATTCATGCTTCTGAGCATCCAACTCTTGATGATGCTATTGCAACATCAGTAATTGAGCTTAATCATCACAACGAATCTCAAACACCATTTTCATGATGATCTTTTAATTCGAGGAAGATGTATGTACCATCGTGTATCCATTTCATAAATGAGCAGATAACAAAAGTTTCTTCTTCTTCTTTTTTTTTTTTTTTGTGTTTCTCTTTTCTTGTCTTCTGTAAATAACAGCATCATAATTGATGAGATTAGATTCTAATTTAAGTGATAGCTCATGTTTAAAGGGTTAAAATAATAATAATAAAATAGGACTCTTGAAGGGGGAAGCAGAAAGAGAGGAGAAAGGGGAGGGGAGGAGGGAGGAGGAGGGACGAGAGAAGGGGAAGGGGTGGCGGGTGATGGCGTGTTTTTGGTGGTTGGTGGTGGTGGTGATGGGGTGTTTGTTTTATATATATATATATATTTGGAGTTGTTTTTTGATATATTGTATGGATGTGAAGATTTGGAGTTGTTTTTATTTGTTTATTACCGTAACATTATATATGAAAAACTTATTTTTAAAAAAATTGAGGAATCCAAACGGAGCAAATAGTAGTATCGATTATATTTCAAAGACCAAAATATTTGGGCTACTAGTTATACGGCTAAATTATCATTCAATGATGTTTGCAGCAGTCACATACTTCTATAATCATATGGACCATCTTTTAATTCAAGCAGGTGACTTTCTGATTCTGTAGGAAAACATATCTAACAGAGGAACTAGACCAAGCAGAACAAACTGGGCAACAGTTTGATCGGAGTAATCATGCTATGCTGCAACTTCCCATGTATTGTGCTTAGTTATTTCATGTTATACAGTGTACATCAACATGGTGAGATCCTTCTTGATGACTTAAAGCAGAAGGACAAGCATTGAATGAATAAAGGAATAGGAAAAATTGTATGCTGATCTTAAGTAATCTATGAAAGACTACTTTTGCCCCTTAGACAGGGAAAAATGACAGCCTAAGCATAGTTACAAAAGCCACTTAGTTGATAAGATGGGGAAACCTGATGAGGCAGAAAGAGTTCTATGGTAGTGAGCCTATATGTTGGCACATAATTTAACATGTTGAAGCCAGACAAGCCACTGGGGTTAGAATGCCACACCTTTGTTGTTTCATTTACTGAAGATGCTTCTCTGACACAGATATCTTTTTCCTCTTACATTTGGCATTCCTTTTGGGTCTCATATTAGTTGCAGTAATAAGCTTATAGTTGGTTGGAGGCATTTCACTTGGCTTCCCAAACCAATCCTCATAAAAGCTCCATACCTCTGACCTGTTCAAGAGAAAATTCAAGAATATGGTACCTATGCACTAGGGAAGTAAAAAAGTATAAGGTCACAGACAGAGAAATTGAAACTGTTCATTTACCAGTATGCCAAAAACTGAAATGGTGCATACTTTCCATAGATTATTTCGAGATCCCCATCAACTGTCTTGATGGTAGTCTGTCTGGCATGAACCTGAAATGCATATTTTAAATTTTATAGTATATACCAGGCCAGAAAGTAAATATGCATGGCACCAAAAATGCACAAGATTATTAAAGAAAGTACCTGTTTCATATGCCTAATTGTTTCTGAATCAGAGGGAATGACATGATAAAATCCCATGCACATAAGAACATTAGCACATGTAAAAGGGCCGAATCCATCAATTTCTTTTAATTGCTCAGCCAAAATATTGTAGCTAGATAAGGTTGGTTGTCTACCAGTTTCTTCAAGTTCTCCCAACTTGATACCACCTTGAACCACAAGCTGGGCAAGTTTCAATATGCGACTAGCTCGATAACCAAGATTGCAACGCCTTGCTAAAACAGATTCATCAAGACTTGCTAATTCATTTGGGCTTGGGAAATTACCAATCCTACAGCAATTATAAGGTTCGGACCCATCTGAACATGAAAAGTCGTCCAACTGGGGAAAATTTATTAGCCTTCCATCCCCAACCATTTTGGAGCAGTGTAAAACATGATCACAAGCCATTTTGAACACTGAAACTTCCTCTCCGACAGCATTTGCATCAGTAAACTTGTTTGCTAAATTCTCTGGACACTTTTGAACTTCCATCTTTCTCTTTGTTTCCTTCCCAGCAGGTGTTTTTGGAATAAAATGCTCACTGTCAGCTGTTTGACTTCTGGAATCTGTGTCATTATGAACTTTATCCCTTGACAATGGGTATTGCAGTTCCCACTGAAGCTCACAAAGGGCTGTAGCCATGCTCAAACTCCTTGGCCACCTGAAAGAGGGAAAAACTACGATGATTATCTACTTCTTTAAGTCCAAAACATCTCAAAATCTAACTCTTCACGACCATTCTATGCTTTGCAGGCAAAAAGAGCCCCATTATCAGTTTCACAACACATAGATAAAACCAGTAACCAACTAATCATTTGTGAAAAACCTTTGCAACCTTGTTAGTTGTTATATGAAGCATAATCACAGCAACCAAATGTCTAGATATGCCATCACGACTGACATCCTAAGACCTTCTAGTGGTCTAGTCGATTACTATGAATCTATTAACATAAATCCATGACATCCGAATATCGTTGCCTTAAATATATACTGAATGCAAGCTATTCTTAAAAAGAATAGTTTGCAGTTAAACCAATAGAGTTCTCATATGCAAATCCCATGGATAAGAATATTTTGAATTTGGTAGAGTAGGAAAGAACATTCAAAAGCAATCAAGGCTCTAATGACAACTGCTTTTCGGGAAAGCATTTTTCCCTACTCTACCAAACTTGAAATAATCTGCCTCTTATATGGGGCTTTGTCAGATGAGAAGTCTGTTAATTTAACTGCCAGCTACCAAGCACAAATTGTTGGACCTTTTACTACACTGTTAGCAAACATGATCTTTATTTCTTCATCGAAGGGTAGACCCAAAGGATAAACTCAAAGTTTCATTACCTCAACACATCGAAGGTACAAGACAATGACCGTACATACTTGCACGAGACAGATTCTACAAGCAGGGCAGAATTCAGCAACGGAAAACCCACTTACTGGCAATTGCAGAGGAGGATACACTTAATCATGTCCTCGAACAAGGTTGGTGACCTGAATATTCTCCCAAATTCCCTCTCTTTTGCTTCCGTGTGGATCTCTTGAAAGTCCCTCACAGTCCTATTATCTTCCTCTAACAATCGTAGCATTCGCCTTACTTGATTCTACACACAAAATTTGTGAGAAGGATGCACTCCCTAGCCCAATGAATATAAAAAGCCACAATTTTGATTTTAGTTATTGCAAAACACATTTCTACGGCTTTGTCCAGGGAATGTACATTTAACATTGCACATACAAATCATCATATGAATGCTTTACACTAAATAATTCTTGATTTTCGCCCTCTTAGCTGGGCAATCGGGGTGTGCCGTTTGCATTAATTTTCCCAATTTTAGTTGAACAACTACTATTGATAATAGGGGTATTAGAAGGCGAAATAATGTGCTTATTTTTAAGGCTGCTTTTACAATTATGAATCTCATATATGAGGACAGTAATAATAACAATAATAATAATAAATCTCATACACCAAAACATTAGGAATCATTAAAGGCTATGAATCATACAACCTGAAAGCATCCCCACCCATTTTAATCAAATGTCAAATTTCTCCTTAATTCCTTTCATTTGCTTTACTGATTTTCAAAATTCACGCCGACAAGATATAAGAAAGAAATGAAAAAGCCCAGAAGAGATTAGGAAGAAGAGTACCAGCAAGGAGTGTTGTTGTGGAGAAGATAGAGAATCAGTCCCAAAGACTTGAAGTTTGAGGGATTGAGAAGGGCGACAGGACTGTGAGATTTTGACGGTGACTGACTTTTGGTGATCAGGGTCGTTGAGACTGAGGCTGAGACGAAGAGGGCGTTGAAGGGTCTTGGATTTTGGGTCCCAGAAATTTGGTGCCATCATGAATAGCCCATGGCTGCAGACTGCTTTTTCCAGTTTGAACGTGGCTGCAGCCTCTCCAAGCGGCAGCTCCACCACCGTGGTCAGGTGGTTTCCGCCGGTTAAGCTGCTCTGGATTTCCATTTCCGATACTTGCCGTTAACTGACTGAGTAGTTCGTGGAAGTGTCAAATTAAGTAGTCGTATGGTATGGAAAAATTATATGAGATGAGAAACGAATGAAAACGGCCCACAAAAAAAATAAAAAAAAAAGAAGGAATTGTAAATATTTTAGTGTTCTATGTCCAAAGAACCAAAGATTCTAGTATGCTTGGATTTGATGAAAATTTAAGGGGTTTTTTGTTTATGCAAATTAACCTCAGTTCCCATCCTATATCTTTTTTCCATTGCATACAAGTAAAGGACGAAAAGCTAGCTTGCATGGTTTCTACATCAGTTTACACTTTACACTACAGGTAGGATTCATCATTCATAGAGGTGCTACTTCGGACCGTCTCCTTTCATTCTTTCTTCTTCTTTTTTAACCCTATAATATGCGCAGGAACTTGCTTAATATATTATGCATGTACAATGATCATAATATATTGCTAATAACTAAAACTTGTAATTTCTGATGAAACCAATACTTTTCTTCTTAATTAGCATTCTTGATGTCTTGTCCCTATCTTGCTTTCAGGGCCACTTATACCCACTTAATTACCCACTTATAGAGCTGCAGTTAACTACTTCTTTTGTGCAGCATTGAGGTTTTAATCTTTGTCCAATTGAAGCTATATATTATTTCTAGTAGGTGCAAACTTAGAACATGAGTGAAGCATTCGGATGAACTGTTTTGGTTTCACCTCCCAGCTCTGGTTCTATACTTGATTCACTTCATATCGATCGTTTCAGAATTCATTTGAGATTTGCTTTTCTTTTCTGGGTTTGGGTAAGTAAATTGACATTTTGGCTGATTCATTGTTCTTGATGTCATGTTGAATGTCTTCAAGTGTACTAATCCAAAGCCGTTTTTATCACTCTGTAGGGCACATATGGGTTCAAACTTTCCAAATCATAAATTATGGGAGAATTGGGTTTTAATATTCCGAGACTTACTTAGGGTAATCACTTGGAAGGACTAAATGTATACACATTGATAACTATTGCTCATGCAGAATAATTGTTCAAGTCCTTTCCAGTTGCAACACTTTACCTTTTGCGTGCTTTACTCTCACAGATATTAAATACAGAAGACGTTAATTATTTTCTATCTGAAAAAATGTATTTTCTATCTCTGTTTTTTTTTTTTTTTTTTTTGGAAAAAATTTTGAGTACATTTGATATAGCCCATATTTTAGCATAGATATTCAACCATTTGGAAGAAGCAATTTTTTTTAATTACCACATTTATGACTACCCTAATTCTCACAAGCTTTGGCAAAAGTTTAGGAATAACATAATATTGATTTTTTACTTAAATTTTGATTTCTGATCGTTAATCTATTTTACACGGACATGTAGCTTGTTTTAAGCCAAACACGCTTAACTTTTTTTTTTGAGCGGAAAAAAGTTTAAATGAATTCGACTCCGATCATGGATCAGAGTATGCCTTCGAAATCATATTCTTACAAATCACCTGTCAGACACGCTTGATGCCTATACATAAGGGCAAATTTTGGGGTGGCAAGATGCTTTGGAAGACTTGGAAGTCATAGGCAGCAGGTTAACGAATCTATCAGTAGCATTTATTTTGCTGAGCATCCATCTCTTGGTGATGACATTACTACCTCAGTAATTGTGCTTACACATCAAAACATACCTGAAATACCATTTTCTTATCTTTTAACTCGAGGAAGATGTACTATTTATTTAATTCATAAACGAGTAGATAATGAATTTTTGTTTGTTTTTTATTTTCTTGTTTGTAAATAACAGCATTAAATTAATCATAAGGTTAATTGCTAATTTAATTGCTAATTAACTAGAGCAGATGGCTCATGTTTGAAGGGTTAAAGAATAATCTTGAGCATGATTTCGTTGGCAACCAATCACATTTAGAAATTACGCTAAACTATATATATATATAAAAGCAAGCTATCGAAAACATTTGATTTTATAATGCATTTGGTCTAGAAACAAAAAAAAAAAAAACATTTGATTATTATGTAATCTATTTGGTCGGTCTATAAGCATAAAAATCCGATATAAATTGATAAATTAATTTAGGTAACAATATAGGTAGATAAGTTGATTTAGGTAACAAATACAACACTGATGCAAATTCCTAGTGTCCAGTTTCCAAAAGTGAACTATAGAACAGATACTAGAAGTCTATCTTGACAAGGATTAACTAATAAGAATACCGAATCCAATCTAGACAAGGATTCATAATGTAATACGAGAGATCGTTTCGCCACAAAAGTTGAGCCCACCCTGCAAAAGAGTTTCCTGTAGATGATGGTACAAACGCCAATGCTATCAAGATGTATAATATCGCATTCTAAGCCGCCACCATCCCCTCTTGAAGATCAATAATTGTGCAGCAGTTTCATCAAGAAGTGATTCAGTTGCGGCGTTCTCAAGATGGTCAAGATGACAAGTATCTTCACCGCTACAACTTTGAAGTGGAAGAAGTACAAAAAACTTGGAGCCGGATCGTACGGGACCGTATACTTGGCTGGTGAAGCTAATTCTGTATTCCTGGGAGGTTCGTTTGCAGCAGTTAAGAGTGCAGAGTTTCAGCACTCAAAAGAAACTGTAAAGGAGGCGGAGTTCTTGAAAGAAGTAGCAGATAATCCCTATATTGTTCGGTGCTTTGCCGAGGATATTAGCATCGAGAATGGAAAAGAAGTTTACAACATGTTAATGGAATATGCACCCGGAGGCACCCTTCATGATCTGATCGTTGCTTACAACGTCATGGGAAGTACTATGCCAGAATCCCATGCAGCCGCTTACGCCTACATGTTGCTTAGTGGTCTTTCCCATGTTCATCGGAGAGGGTTAGTTCACTGCGACCTGAAGCCCTGCAACATCCTCGTTTTTCCAAAAATAAATGGGACTGATTTGCTCCACCTGAAGATCGCTGATTTTGGGCTAGCCAAGCGCGTTTGGGAGGAGGATCGAGTCGGATTGTTCCGTCGCCATCGTGGCACGCGGGTTTATGCGTCGCCGGAGTCCATAATGTTTGGGATGCACGGGACAGCAACCGATGTATGGTCACTTGGATGCACTATCTTGGAGATGATGACGGGAAGGCAAACTTGGACGGACGAGGAGATGTGGGATTTGTATGTTGAGACGGTGCAAGGTCCATCTTCAGTAATTTCCCAACTTGGAAAAGACTTTCTGAGCAGATTCTTCCTAACGGATCCAAATTGTAGATGGACCGCTCCCATGCTTCTTGATCATCCGTTTATTACACGAAATATCAAGGGATTACCTCCAGTTGAAGAAACTCAATTTCAGAACAACCCTTTTGGCATCTACGATAGATGGATTGTTATCGAGCACCTGTTCTCGACTCCGATTCAACCTCACTCATATCCTTTCTTCTTGTCTCAACCCTCCCGTCCTAAAGAGAATAGTTCATATCAGTTTTTCCCAATTCAATGCAATACACGAGCCGTTGTTGGAGGCCCGTTTTCTATTCCTTGTGGAATAGAATCGATCAACCGTCTCCTGGCATGAGAAGTACAAGATCGCGCGCAGGGAAGATTCAGAGGCAAGTAACACGCATGAATTACATCAGTTCGTCCACGTTAAAGATGCAGATCGAGTTAACAATGACTCTCAAGTGTTGCAGTATATAGAAGAGCAGTGTTCGTCCACGTTAAAGACTTGAAGCTGGCAGACCCACAAAGACTTCGACGCAGAGAAGATCTTCAGCTGACAACATGTACCACAGAACTACGTGGGGCTTGATCCCATAAATAAAACCATTTTTATGGATACGCAGGCAGGAATCAATAATGAGCATGCAATCAGAGTAAACAACCTGGAAGTAATAGTCAATTGAAGTGGCCTTATATTAGTAGTTGCACGGTATGGGGAAGTTTTTGAGGGAAAAAAATAAAAATGGAAATAATAGAAGAGTTGTAACTGCTAGTGTGTAATATGACCAAAAAAAAAAATGGAAGGTATGATAATATTTTCCTAGTTGATAATATTTTTCTATGTATAGTTTTTGTTTGTAATATTTCTAAATAATGTTTAGAGAAAATCTTTTTTAAATTCAAAATAATGTTGAATTAGATGTTATTCTTGCAAATTTATATCTCTTAAATTCTGTTTTGTTTGTAGTTTATTCCTTTTACACTAGTAGAATGGAACAAGAACACAAGGCTCAAGTATCAAGAATCAGAAGTCATTATTGATTCTAGTCCTCAGTCCCCTCACCCATTCTTTATAATCTGGCACACGCATACAAGTACGACCATTGCCTAATAATTGGCATCAGTCTCACGCAGGCATTGAAGCAGTTCCTATGGACTTGGGACAAACGTTCATGAGCTGACAGCTGATATTTCATGTGCCAGATTATAAAGAAACTGGAGACACCAAGAAAACCTCCAGAACTAGAAGATGTTAGGCTGTGATATATGTTCTCAATGGATGTGGATTTCAATTTATCTAGTTACAAGTTGTCAATTTCCCAAGGGATCTAAAAGAACTCCCCTGGAAGCTCAGTCAGATTATATACACTCCCAAACATGCCTAAGCTATGTATATATAAATCACCGTCATGATTGGAAACTCATTTGTTTGGGCTTTTCAAGAGGAAGCTTCTCCATCTCACGATTTTCATTGCCATGGGCAGATTCTGAGTCATTGGTCTCTGCCCTTTTAAGTTCATCCATTTTCCTCTTTGTGTAGACTGTGAAGAGAACTACAGTGATGATTGCTACAACAAAAGAAATGACATTGTAGATTATCTCCAATGGAGTCAAATGATAGTTCCCGTACTTGACATCTGCAAATGTTCTTATTAGCCGACCACTGCAAGAGGAACATAAAATACACAAATTCAGACATTAGCACCAGTGTGTATAACGAGGATTTCAAGAAAGCACATGTTTCATATTTAATTGATCTACATCAAAAACAGGTTTGCTAACTATAGCTCTAAAACTGGTTTACTCGGTGATGCACTTATCATCAAACAGACAGTAAAAGAGATGCAGAAGTATGCGAATGAAATTAAGAGTTGATTAAGTGATAATCCAATAATAAAAAAAAATGCCTCACTGCTCCTTTATTTTGTAGAGGGCCTAATGCAAATATGTATGTATTTAGGTAACCAGCCAGTAGTTGTAGAGAAAAAACAGGTATTGCAACTAACCTGTAGATGTAAAGGAAGGCTTCAGGAATCATCCCTGCGATTGATCCACCTAAGTATGGCCAAAATCTCATGCTTGTCACGACTACAGCATAGTTGAAAATTGTATATGGAAATGGCGAGACCCTGAACAGGGCAACCACTTGAAATTGGTGAAACCAACTTCCTTCTGCTGCCAGTCTGATCATAGCAGCTTTATCGGGCCATCTCTTTAACCATTGCTGCAGATTCAGCAGAGAAAGGAGATTTACTAGTTAGAAAATCAAGGAACCATATATCATAGGAGAAGAAGGACATCCATAAGAACCCCCCCCCCCTTCTTTTTTCCCGGGAAAAGAAGAAGAAGAAGAAGAAGGCAACCGCTGTCTTACATGAATTTTGTCTCTGAAGAGTAAACCAATCCAATAGGGCAGGACCATCCCAACAGTGGTTCCAACCATTATTATCACAAATCCAAGACCATATCCAAATATCATCCCAGCCAGCCACATGGAAGGGCCAGATGGAATTAGAAACACAGGAAATAGTGCCAAAGAAGCAACAAGCACCAGTGCAAGTGTTGGACGACCAAAAGAAGTAGCTTCCCATTGCAGAATAGGCATAAGTACCTAAGCCAGTATTTAAACAAAATAGCTCAGTACCTAGCAGTTGTATTGTCCTAGGGTACAATAGGATATATGTAACAAACCCCAAGCAATTTTCATGATGACATGTTCACCATTATCATGGCCTACAGCATAAAATGACTGGAGTTCTGGTGCTATAAGTACCAAATTGCACGAGTAGATACAAATCGTCTATTGGACTAAGAAGCAACCACGAACAGCTGGAACATTCTCCAGATAAATCTGGAATGCAGGGCTTTATACATTGTAGAATACAAAATGTCAAATTAGAAGCCATTCACACATATCCAGAATTGTAGGTAACAGGAAGGCATCAAGACTGGTGTTATAGGCAATTCATGGCCACTTCTGGAGAGAGAGATCGACAGGCTTGTGCAAATACTCAGAACCAGAGTGAGTGTAAAAAGTTCTTTCTATAACAATTGCTTGAAAAAACCATCTGGCCCACTACACACCTACATCCTTCTAGTTGGACCCCAGTTTACAGAATTTGAGGACTTCATCATGCTATTTACATGAAGTGAAAATCGATTACTGACCAAAAGATTTTCTTAATTTAATCAACAGATTTAGCATTTTTTTGTTTTTATCCTATCAGGTTATGATTTTCTCCCCAGTTTTTATTATTTATCTTTTTTGGGAGGGGCTAGGGTATGGGAGGAAGAGGAAGAGAAGTAGAAGCTTAATGAAGCATAGGAGATACCTTCTCAAAAAGAAAGGGAAGTCCCCATTTGAGAAGAACAAGAAGAATAATAACTGTGCTTGAACACCATATGAAGGCCTTGATCCACCAAATAAGAGACCATCTGCTTGAAGCTTGAGGTTGCAAATTAACATCTCCAGCTGTTCTAGGTTCATCAGAAATAACAAGCCTCACATATTCACTCTCTCCCCTAACACCTGCAGTGTTTGTGTGGGTTTTTCCAAACTTTTCAGCCGAATCTGGCATCTTTATTGAGACACCAGAAAATCTGTCAAAAAAGAATTTAAGAAAAAGAAGATTAAGCGCTCATCAAAAGACCCAATATTGTAGTTACACTCGAAATAGAATTGAAATAAAAATATTAGATTTTCCGTCATGAACAAGGGAAAATTATTTCTCAGAAACATAGCTGACACACACACTGCAAATTAAAGGTTAAATAGAAAACTTGCTAGGTCAGGATTAAACAATGTAAATTTTATCTAACAGCTATAAATAAGGCATCAAACCATCTGAAAGATGTAGATCTTTAGCACAGTGGGGGAAAACAACTCTTCTGCTAAGGTTCTTATTATCAAATATCATGTACTCTAATTTACAGACACTGAAGGTTCATGACTCATGAGTTGAGTTATTGTTGTTAACCCATAGAACAAGAAAGGCCATCAGATGCTAGATTTCTTCAGCTAATTGAGCATATAACAGCCAACTTCTGGATTAAGCAATTTTTTTCAAAGCATAGCCACAGTACAAAAGATGCAAAAAGATCTCCCCAAAAGGGATTGAGCTCTGTCAATGGGTATTTAAGCATAAGCTCCTGCTTCAGTGAAGAAGCGATATTTCCTTTCATCAACTTGCAACTTTTTTGTTTTTCAGTGCAGAGCTCAAATTTTTCAATCAATATAATTTCCTTGCATCAATTTGCAGCCAAATAGACAATGTACAAGAAAAAACATAAGCAAAAGGAGACTCATTTCTATAGCGATAATTATTAAAAACAAAAAAATTAGGAGGTAGAAAGTACACGGACATGGCAGCAAGATCAAGTAATTTGTCTCCAATATGTTTGCAATTGTAAGACAGCATGACCATGTTAGTCTAGCAACAGAACATTACAAAATCTCGTAGATTTTGGGTCCAAAAAGTTCTTCACATAATTAAGGGCTCTACTTCGTAACTTCTGCAGCTTATCTGATCTATTTTCAATAGCTATATCATGTCCATAGAAGACAAAGCAGTATGATACATATCAAAATGGCTTCACATGTCAAACAAAGGAGAAGACTGGAATCAGCTATATTCCAAGGCATGTGCAAGCAGTAACAAGATGATGTGATGATTTATACTGCTTCATCCTGTAATAAACCATTCTGTCTTGAATAAATGCGTACCATACCTATTAAACTGGAGGTGCTTGTAATCATTCAAAACCAAGAATCCTCCCTTCCAGCTAGAGAAGTATTTTCCTAGAAACAGAAAAGCATTTCCCAAGTATTTTGGAATCTGCATAAACACCAGAAGGCAACATCTTTAATAGTGTTACAATTACAAAGAACAAGAAGAAGAACATTAGTGGTACTAAATACAGAATCAGCATAGAATTGACCATTTTATCCTTCCCGCACAGACAAAGAAACTGCAAATCGAGAACACATAATTGCTAAATTTTATACATGCATGGTTGAGAACTGTTTTTATTCAACATTTCTTTCAGGAACTAAATAGTTCCCTGATGAAATAGTTCAGCTCGATATGCAAGCAAACCAAACATGATCAAAGAAAATAAAAATTTGGAAGACGGAAATAAAAATAAATGCGAAACTTGATAAACTGTGCCCATAGTATGCCTTCAGCTTCTAATGATCATCAGGCAGTTTTGGCAGGCAAAAACCTACACCCCGGATTGAAAGAGTGAATTTCTCAAACTTTACAAACAAATACAGAAAAACCCGTTTTGGTAATCAACACTTGCCAATACAAATTAGTGAAGTAGTAGATGGTAGTATCAAGTCGTATTTCCAACTGGTAGAATTCTACGCTAGTACAAAAGATACGTGTAACAAATAGCTTATTAGTTGGCTTTTATGATTTCTGACAAAGAAACAACAACGAGAAGAACAAGCTGTAGTTAGCAAGGAAAACCAAAAAGAAAAGAAAAAGAAAAAAGAAAATGAATTCATTTGCACCCACCTCCGGAACTAACTATGCCAACAAGAATATGCCCATCCAGAAAAAGATCCCAACCAACCATTTCTTTCTTCAACCTTCTTTATTTGGGTCCATATGTAAAATCCACCCCCACACCCACCCAACCAACCCCCCCCCCTCCCCACAAAAACACCCCAACCAAAACGAAAAAAAAGGGGAAAAAGTAAAGAAAAACCTAAGCTTTATAACTGAAACCCGAATTAAACAACAAAATTTCCACATTCCTGAAGAAAGATATTGATGTTACTACCTAGATAAAAAAAAAAAATAAAGAAGTAAACCCAAGAGAAAAGGGGGAAGAAGAGTGGAGAAAATCCCAAAAGGGAGGATTTTAGCGGAACAACTCACTGTGTCAAAAAGGCCGAGTTGAGCTCCGGCTAGTGTACTGTACTGATCAAGCCGCTGTAACCGCTGAAGAGGTGCCCGGAAGGGGAGAACAAGCAAGCGAAATGGTGGTGATTTTTGGATTAGTATTAAAAGATTTATTGCTCAAAGAAAAAAGATTATTTCAAACTGAAAAGCATTTCTAGATTGAAACTAAATATGGTTGCTTAGCAAAGACTACTACTAGTAATCTTGAATAAGCTTTGATCGATGGCGGATGATTATGATTACTATAACAAGGGAAGGTAGACAAGTCAAGCTAACGGCTTTGAAGAACTTTGAAGAGAGTGGGCCCTGGGAAAGAGGTTTAACTCGGTTGGGTTTCTTGGTTTTCTTTAGTATTTATTATCACTCCGCCTTCCTGAATTGACTTTTACTATCGTACACTTCATACTAATTTTCAAATTATAACTCTCAAATATTTGTGATTTTCTTTCTTTTTTTAAGCATAAAGAAAGAAAACCCTCCCCCCCCCCCTTTTTTTTTTGTACAAGAAATTAGGTAAATAAATAAGATAATTAGGTAAATAAATAAGATAATTTTGGTGTAGATATATGCCACATAATCTAATATTAAATTCTACTCGAGGTTGCGGTGATTTATAAATAAGCACTTTCTGACATAAATACTTTTAACAAAAGTGCTTCTAAATTATCAAAATTAGACCGTTTAATTTACGAAAATTAGTTATCAAGCACCATAACGAGCACTTTTTTTTTTTGTGAATGCACCGCAACTCCAAATGGGGTCTCAATATAACATAATTCCTTGTTGGAAATGGATGAGTAGTTGGGAAAGTTGCAGATTGATCAAATTTTTACTTTTCTTTCTTGTGAGTGTAGAATGTGGAACGTTAGTTGCACCACTCTCTTGGTGGTTGCCGTTTTGGAAACGTTTGCTTGGAAGGATGTTTTTGTGGTGAAAAAAAGGAGAAAGCGGACTGTGACAAGAAAGCGAGGTATGAAGAACCTTGCTTTAGCAAATAGATTATCAATTATGATGATGATGCTTTTGGTTTAAATTGTGGCACTTGTTTTTTTTTTTTTTTTTTTTGGGTTTCTTTGGTACTTTATCTTATTTGTATGTGGGTTGCCATATTCCGTTGACTACAAATAATTAGTTACATCAAAGTTATACTAATTGGTCAAAATTATTGAATGCTTCGTGCATGCCTTTCTCCTTAATTTTGATCCTTTTTTTCATTTATTTGTTTCTAAATCTTTTTAAAATTTTTTGGGATAGTAACTTTCAAGTTTAAGAAAAGGAAAAAAAAAAAATTGGAAACCACCAAAATCATGGGACAAGAACTGCAGTTTCTGCATTTTTTGTCTTGGCTTCTAGACATGTACGTAATTTCCAAGTCAAAATCGTTTGCTTTCTAGAAACACATAAATGTGAAGACAAAATCAAAATTATAAAAAAAGAAAAGAGGAAAAGTCAACTTTCAGCGTCTTCCCCCAAGAATTTGGAAAATTCGTACGGGTCATGTCATTCTCTATTTTCACTGATCTACATCTTATCGGTGTGTAATACACCATTAATGATTCTTGGACTTTACTATATGGCCTTATTTGGCAGGCAAGCAAGTTTTTAATCAAATTTATCTGCTACAAGTTTTTTAACAACTTTAATTACAGTAATCTTAAAAAAATTTTCAAAAATTTTAAACTATACACTTAAAAATATTCAAAAATTTACTCATTTTAAAAATTTTTTCTACAACTTCTACAGTAAGTTACAGTAAAGTTTGAGACAGACATCTAAAAAACTCACTTGCCGAAGAGGACTTTTCCCTTAACAAACACTAACAAGTAGTCGAGTATTTTTGCGGAAGAAAATCTCAAGAGTTTTAATAGTGTAGGTTGGATTAATTTTTTCTTTTTGGGTTTTTGGGGGGGGGGGGGGGGGCATATTTGACTGCAACGCCTTCCTATAATAGATTTCCTACAAATTCTTTAACCATGCAGTAGTATTAATTAATTCTAGGATGTGCTGAACATGATTCTTCAATTTGAAGGCATGCTGGATCTTGTCTTTTCTTTTTATTATTATTTTTATACAGTGATCTTAGAGAAAATTAACTGGGAAATCATTTTCCAACAAATTCAACTGGGTCCTACACCACCTCATATGAATATGATTATTGGATTCAACAAAAACACGCAACGTTTAACAGTCAAGAATCAGACTACTGTCTCAAGGATATACCATCATCCCCTTTTAATTTTTTTTTTTTCCGCAAGCAAACTCAAATCAGGGATTACCATCCAATCCTGGCAGAAAATCCTCCATTTAATGTATGTGTCTACGTAAACTTCCACTTTTCATTAGCCGTATTCAGGTAGGTGCACAGGCAAATATGCAAAAACTCATAAATGAATGAATTATTATCTGACTTCTTGTTACTTTAGTTGTTAGAATGAATTCACATTTAGTGAATCTTGAACCATGACTTGTACTCCCTCGTCCCCCTTTGATAATCCTGTTTCTTTTTTTACACAGTTTAAGAAAAATAATTAACTTTGTTGAAAAAATAAATTTAGATTACTATTTTTCTAAAATACCCTCACATTCAATATGGTACAACTTTATGAGAACTTGAATTGATGGTAAAAAATGAATCAACTCTCATTAAATAAGGTAGGTTTATAATAACAATACTTACATTGAATAAGGATATTTTAGAAAAATTAAAATACAACTACATTTTTCAATTGGATAGTGGACTACAATTTGGGACAGATGAAAAAAAATTCAGGACTATCAAAGTGGGACGGAGAGAGTAATTCTTAAGGCATTCTTAAACCTTGAATGCCAGGCCAAGGCTTCATGGGGACCAAGAACTGATTTTAAGTGCAGGGTTTTCCTTTCCTGGGGTTTGATGGTCTAAATCAGCATGGCCATACACTCCCAACAGATCATCAATAATCCAAGAAATCATTATTCATAATCGCAGTTAGTTCGGATAACTGTGATGATGATTTTAAGTCTTGTCTCAGCTACATTTTGTTCTAACTAATTGGGGAAAACTCTTTCTTTTTCCTCCCTTTTTGGCACAAATTAATATACGCCATTGCCAATGACTTCAGGGTAAAAGCAGGAACAAAAGAATATGGAAATGTCAGCTAAAAGGTCCCTGATGAATTGGTTGCGCTTTCAGCTACAAAAGAAAAGAATATGGATATGTGAGCTAGAACTACATCCTCTATTGCACAAACAACGACTACAAGACTCACTAAAGTGACGCGATTCTGGAACGAGACTGCTACACATAATCAAACCTGGTCTCAAGATGCCGGATTTGTACAACAGAAATCTCTGAGAAAAAAAAAAAAACATTGTCTGGCCAAAGGATTGACATATATACAGCAATGGCAGTTGATAGAAGATAAGGGCCCAACGAATCAACTAGCAAGGTTATCTTTCTGCCTGATAAGTGAAGCAGTTGGTGACACACCACAGAACTTGAAGCATACGATAACTCAGCATTCAACAGTAATAATACAGTTGACAGTGGCCACATGAGATGCAGACGAGGAGAGGACAATATCCAAAATGAAAACAGTATACACCACCTGAGATCCAATTTTGTGTAACTTGCTTGGTAAATGGGAGCTGGGGATTGAAGACTTCCATGTCCTGAGGCTCATGATCCATGTCACTCTTGACACTGACCGGTACACTTAGCAGAACTTTATCAACCCTACTATACAGTGAAAGACTGCACATCATCCGAATCAACCTTTATCTGAAGTAAAGAAAGCCAAAACCATGAGTCTCAAGGGCAACTAGATTAAATCCAAAGGAAAAGGTCAAAGAAGTATTTAACATACTAGATTAAGATGCTTGAGCAAAGCTCCATGCAACAGCTTTTTCAGCTTCTCACTTTGATCAACCATGTGACCTAACCTGATTGACTCCTCAAGTTGGCACCATAACCGCTCAATAGTGGTGTATGGAAACCACACTGCACATTGTCTTTTACGGCGAATAATATCAGCTGGTCTCTGCAGATAAAACAACTTGTTTCACTTCCACGTCAACATGGGACTTATGCTTGGGCCCTTTGGGAGCCACAGGGGACCAGAAAGCACTAGCACCATTTAGCCAAGAACCAAGTACACATACTTTAAACTAGAGAACCTATAACCACCAGAAGCATCTATGGTTTTGCACATTCCCTGAAACAGCGACTTATGTAATTCTATGCAACCTTAAACAGGATTTAACACTATCAACAATAGAAATTGTTCATACAGAAATACATGGAAGCTACAGTTTGACGAGCAAAGCACCCATGCGGCACCCCTACTACAAAAGTACTACTTTCAGCTGTCTACTGACTCAAGGTCCTCAATGGGTAGTCATTCATAGGACAGTTTGAAGCATCATAAAGATGCTTGAGTAGAATAAATTGTAGTTAAGCGTAGTTTACTGACTGCAAGTGATGGCCATAAATTTGGTGTACACCATACAAAAGTTCAAACAGGTCGCAAGGATCTGACAGTATGTGTCTCTGATGTGGATCTTGTTGTTGGAGAATAAATCTTAAGGAAATAAAAAGCTTAAAATCTTCACAATTGTTCAAACAGAGAATTAATAAATCATCATCTTGTTTGGGGAAAAAAATACTAATCATCGTAGAGATTAAGGAATTTACCAGTGACGCAAGAGACTCAATATATTCAAGTAGCACATTAGTTGCTTCCACGTATCGGCCATAATCAACATATAACCGAAACAGTGATGCAGGGCTAGATTCACTTCCTATCATTCCAAAGCCATATTCCTGCCGAGAAACCTGTGACAAGAATATATATGTGAGACAGATACACACATAAATACATACATATCTAAGTATAAATAAACAAACTTAACATACATATGTATGTTTGTGTCTATGTAGGTATGTATATTTCAATATTTTGAGTTATAACAACTCAAATTAGTTGAATGAAGTTCAAGATCCTAATTTACAAGGCAGTACAAGCTGGCACAAGCAATCTATCCAAAATATGCATGCAGAGACTCCAGAGTCCAGAACCTGGGTATTCTGACTTATTATTTATCAAAGGGTCACTAGAATTAATTCTGATCTGGCCCCCCAAAAGAACTTGACCAACCATAACCACGCAAATTTGGTTCACACACTTTTACCAGCTTGCAAGAGTCTTAAAGTCCAAAATCTGAATTGTCTATCCATTTGTTTCCAAAACATTCTTTGATCAATTGAAATTGTCCCACCAAATCCCATTCTCAAACGAATGTAAGCATATTAATCAACATAACCCAGCTACGACATCACAGTTATGACCAATCTAATTTGACAATTCTTGTAAATATGTTATCCACATGACATTTGATATCACTGGAGATGCTATCCCTTCCACCAAAATGTGAAAGCAATTTGGACACAGAAACTTTATGGATGCATTTTGTTGACAAAAAGGATGGGACCTTTGGTTTTGTTGACAAAAAGGATGGGACCTTTGGTTGACTGTAGAGAATTTACCAGAAAAATTATCCATCACAAATACCCAAAGGCATCAAAGATTGTTTAAAAATAAAAGAATTTAAGTGCTTTATATTGCTATATCTGCTAAAGTACCATCACCCCAGTTACTAGCACCAGTATTTTGTATGTAGGTCGCAGATGAAGAGTTCTTGCAACAACATAAATCAGTTACTTAAGATATCATACTTGCAAATTTTTACTGCAAAAAACTTAATAAAGGTAGCATGCACTTGCTGAAGCCGTGGAATTGGCTTTATGAGACTTCCAGTCTGCTATGAGAAAGCATGTAGTAGTGGTAAACCCCAATGAGGAACTACTTACATGATCTTTAAAGCTTATGTTGCAATTATTGCAACTAAAAGGATATTGTGTCCAGTACAACTAGAACAATAATGTAGTCAATTTCAAGAAAAGCATGACAAACTGTCAAGCTTGGAAACAATATATTCAATTAACTAACAGCTTAGATAGATCACAAATTCACAACATATGTTAAAATTCACTATGACATATTAACAATTTGTTTCCACACTAACTTTGGAGAAAGTGAAGAAACATGACAAACTCCACATTTTTAACATAAAACTTGACAGCGTGTACAGTCCATTCAAAAGGTGTTATGGCATCAACGAAGAAAAGGTCCATGCTCAGCATCCTTAAGAACTATAATATATATCAAGGAAGAGCCTTAGGTTTGGTGTAACTTTTTTTTGTAACTTTTGAAATTTCCAACTTTACCCTCAAAATCACTTACTTTTACCTTTACTATGGAACCACATGTTGCCCATATTGCCAACCAACACAACCACAGCCAATTTTAACCCGAAATATCTAAACACACGTCGCCTACATAACCACCCCTAAACATTGTAACCACCAAGTTAATTAAAATACTATTCAAAAAACTATTACATGATCATTTTTTATGAAAATTTCACACTAAATTCTTACATGTAAAAAGTGATTGTTTCTAAATTGCACACATCAGGTTTGCCCCTAGCACAAGTTCTAACAATTTTTTGAACAGCAACTATGAGATCATCTCCAAAAAATCCTCCTCACGTCATTGGAACTTGACAAAGTATCATCCATTATTAGAAAAAGTGAAGGATGAAAAGCATGAAACATTTAACTGGAAACACTTGCAAGTTTTATGTCCAACAAAACATGGAACCATAAAGTTTCAACTCTGACATTAATATTCATCTATTTCCTATCTGTAGTGACCTCCCCAGGTGTTATATCAACTCTTTGTCAGCTAAATCCTATTGCCATCGTGGTCAAGTTTTGCCTTCAAGAATTGATAATATTGTGCATCACTCGGTTACTCATAAGGCACGTTTAATTAAACTTTTGTAATTCAACCAGTTCATTGACTTGTAAAACAGAAAATTTACCTTAAACAATTGGACCAACCAAAGGGGTAAAACAATCTGTGGATCAGAAGCAAGAAGAGTTTCAGCAACCACTATAGGTAATCTTGAGTTGTACTGTTTGTATTTTCCCTGCATTCAACAATTGCAGAAGGATGACATATCAGAGGGTGTATGGTACAAATTTACCTTGCTACCAAACCTAATTGGTGCTTATAATGCACTTAATGATCTAAGCTAGCAGCACATATCGTCTTCATAGTCATGAAATTGTGAGAAAAAAATGCTGTTATTGGCCTAACCTAGCAGTTTTATAAATGATCACAAGGCAATTGTGATAAGGTTTCAAGTACTATAAGATATAATATGTTGTCAACCAGGTTAGCTCAAATCGGTTAATTAAAGCAAACCAATCTGATTCTTGACAATTTTCACTTAATAATACCTTTACAAGAATCAATGTAGACATATATGTGTTTCACGGCCCTACTGAGTTGATTGCTCTTGTTATACAATCTGTCAAGCTCAACACTGATGCTGGTAAGTGTTGGCTTATATAGATCTCAGAACTATGTTATTTGTTGAAGGTAATCTCTTCTTTAAATACCACATGTCATGCCAAATGTGTACATTAAGGAAAAGTAATTTTATGACAAGGAATTCATACCCCAAGGCGCCAAATGGCAGTGCCATGAGGTACCAACCACCAAATTATCCTCCACCAAATACAGGAACAGGGAAATCCCCAGCTCAATAATTTTCAAACCAACAAATTGAGTTGTATCATCAAAGTCCATGCAACAATTTAAAAATAGTGCTTTGTCCACAAAATAAAATAGAAAAACACTAACGAATTGCAGTCAAGGAAGATAATAAGAAAGGAACATATACGGACAAGATAGACTTCAAGTGTTTCCCACTGACTATTGCCCTTGGATTGTTGTGCTATAGCTCCCATATCAAGCAAGCTCTCCTCTTCCTGAGATGAAGTTAAGAGAAAACCTTGCATCCTATGATTCCTAAAAGCAACCCCCATTAAAGTCAGTCAAACAAACTGCCAGCTGGTACTAAAAATTAGGTAAGTCAAAAGACATATCATGAAAATACAGAAATTAAAGATACTACCCAAAAAGTGAGGGGTTTATTCCAGTTGGGCAGCATTTCAATGACATTGCAGCAAATACTCTTTCAAGTTCCCTGAAGAGGAACCACATTGTAATTGACTATGATTAATCAGCAAAGAAATAAATAAACCATAACACCTGTCAGTTTCAAATAACTTGAAATTAAAACACACTTCTTCAGTCCTGAATCCTTCCAAAATCGCAAAACCACTGTGAAAGCCATATCGTACAAATTTGCCTCCACCAACAGGTCAACCAAATTTTCTGGAGGTTTGTCATCTCCTGAAAAAAAAAGTAAAGCAAAAGAAGAAAGAGAAATAAAAGTAAAAATACACCCCTTCAGAAAAACTAAGAAAGAAAGAAAGAAAGTGTATAATCAAACAATTCAAATTCTTAGAATGTAAATCAGTTTTATGATAATTCTTCATATTACAACAGAGAAAAATATTGCAGTATTAGCATGAATGGAACACATAGAAGTAAGCTAATCCAGGTCAGCTACCATAAAAGTCAGAGGCCACGAATAAGTTTTAGAAGGATAAGAATTTCAAAATTGAGCTATGTACAACAACAAACCATATCAATGTAGCACCTGACAAAGCTACCTCCCAATACAAGGTAATGCATATAGATCTTACCAGTAAAAGTCCATTTAATATTTGCTAGTGAGAGCAAATATTCTGCAGATGTTATGACATACTCATTCTCAATTTCTTCAATTTCCAAAAAGGAGTACAGATGTTGAGGTCCATCAACATCAGCGGGAGCTGTGTTTGAAAAGCATATAAAAATATCATTAAGTGAATCAAGGGCAAAGAACACGTATTACTGTTAACAAGTATTTGATATAAGGATAAATTCATCACCCAATCTGAAGAGTCAATCATTAGCCACAACCTTAATAAATAGATACTTTACCCTGTTCATGCCTTGTTATCCTAGCCTTTTTACTTGGATAATGTTCTTTTTTGTGAGTGGATTCTTCATGTAGAGAGTCGATCCAAGCATAAGCAGGATGAACAAGTTGCAGAGCATTAATAGCAGCAGATAGCCCATTAAGCCTCTCTTGCAGGGCAAAGGACCTGTGCTGATTATCTTTATTTGCTGCTTCAGTTTTAAGCTGAGTAGAATGCAAATAAATAAAACTAGCAGCTTTACGCCAGTTTTGTCTATGCACTTCAAAAGCATAGAGCAATTTTAAAGGGTTCGGATTGGCCAAAATATCTGAGCGTGCTGCCTACAAAATTTACATCAACAATGTCAATGATATAAGCCTGCAAAATGAAAATCTTATATTCATCTCTCAATTTTTAATGGATCAGTTCATACCTTCCAAGCAAGCTCTTTTTCAACCTTCTCTACTAAGCCAATAAAAGGTAGCTGGCCGTCACAAAGAATCTACAAATAAAGCACAGAAACCCAATCATTACTCCTCCAGCTTTCATGCATCATCAAAGGAATGGATTTGAACAATTAAAAGAAACCTCCAAGGAAACATAGGAACAGCACCTAAACAATCAATTTGAAATAGGCGCCAAAACAAAAGGGAAGAAAAAAAAAGGAAAGACATGTTACCAACATCTAATCCCTTTTCAATTCTGAAGAGACCAAATAAGAGCAGAAAATCATAAACCCTTCTCAATTCATGGTTCAAACTCCTAACAAATTATGCAATACCAAATAATACATTACTTGCTATCATCAACCAGGGTTAATGGGGTCTTTTGTTTTTTCACCTCTAGCAATTAGAACTGAAACATAAATTTAAAAAAAAAGGTAAGAGAAAACAACAACAACCAACAGCTGGAAAGAAGGATTTCTGAAAAAGAGGAACAGAAGAAATAAACATGAAGCAAAAAAAGAAAAAAAGAAAGAAAGAAAACATATATAGATGAGAGACGGACATAACCTTAACTGCACCACGCTCTAAAAGAACAATGATGAATCGCCTCAGACAAATATTCTTGCTCTCCTCATCTGGATTTGAAATTATAGCACAATATGCATCATGATAAAAGTTCAGATCCAAAGTGAACTTGAAGACATTTGCCCACAGTCGTCCTTTGACAACAGTTGCTGATTCATCAAGAGGATCTTGTCCAGAGCTGTCATCCTTACTGCCAAGAGCTTCATCAACTTGCTCAAGTGCAGCAAGAGCAAAATTGCAAGCAGCTTCACTTATATTATATCGTTCAAATATCTGCATAGCCCATTGATAGTAATGAAGCTTCCACAATGCATCTGAGCTGCAACCAGCTGGAAGACAAAGATAATTGTGTTTTAAGGGATGCCGTAAAAGGTAATATCTACTTCTCCCACAGAATTTAACAAAATTCAAAACAAACATACTGAAACCAAGGTATGCCAATCCTGCTTCTTGTGGCAAACTTTGCAAAGCATCAGGAGCTCCTTGCACTGATGCAGCTCTGTACACGTCCAATAGAAAAATTAGAACCCCCAGATAAAAATGCACCTCCCAACAACCACTGCTCTAAAGATTGCATCAGTACACTTGGGAAGACATTCTAGAACTGGAAACAACACAAATATTCACAAGTTGTTTGGAATATTATGAACTGATGCTTACCGACCCAGTCACCAAACAAAGAAAATAAATGAAACAGATACCACAACCCAGAAGCAAGTACTACAGTAAATTCTTTAAGAAGAAAAATGAAGAAAAAGAAAGAAACAAAAAGTTGTTCTCATCTAAAAAATTTAAACAATATTCAAAACTGAACAACTTTTAGCAAGATATAACATGCCTATAAAAGCAGTACACAGCTTCAGAAATTTTTCTTTCTTTCAGCATCCTATGCAGTCCACGCTGTGTCTGTTGAATGAGGCAACACCCAAGAAGATGGAGGAGAGTTGGCCATTCCCCATCTGCACTCTGAAGGCTTTCACAAATTTTCTGCTTCCGAGAGTATGCATCCACCAACTTGAGAAGATACTGAATAAATCAAAATTGTGGGTCATAAGGTTGTTCTTGAACCATTGTACAACAGGAAGTATACCATAATGATGTGAAGGAATGGAAAAGAGATACAAACCTCAAGTGCATTGTACTGGCCATGTCTGAGAAAGATAAAAGCAAGTTCAATTAAATGGATGAAGAAAACAGAAGATTCTTCTCCACTACTTCCCCATATTATCCAGCTAGTGAACTCGCGGACTAAATTAGTTATGCTGCAACAATCAGACAGGTTTCTGGAAGAGAGGTGCCTCTGATCTCCAGAAGAACTTCGAAGATTAAGTAATAGGATAAAACCCAATGTGAAGTCACATTTTCCAAGCTTATCATTTAAGGATCTCCTATCAATCTTGTTATCTAACCAAAAGAAAAGAAACAAAGTCAGAAAGATATTTTAGAAGCTCACAAAGGTCCATTTACAGGCCAGGGCCATAAAGGACTATATGAGATCCTAATAACGTCACGGCATGCTCAATTATCTCTTAACCTAGCCATGTTAGGCTCTTTAACCATTGTTGTAGCTCACCACATGTATTCCATGCCCCCTTATCCATATCTAGCTACTGAATATGGTACACAATTGTTGCTGTTCACACATCACATGTGGATTGGTGGATTTCTCATAGTTGGTGCTGCTGCACAAGCAGCCATTATTATGGCAAGAGACTATGATTCAACTACTCGCTACAATGATCTATTAGATCGTGTCCTAAGACATTGTGATGCAATTATATCACATCTCAACTGGGCATGTATATTTCTAGGCTTTCACAGTTTTGGTTTGTACATTCATATTGATACCATGAGCACTTTAGGGCGTCCTCAAGATATGTTTTCAGATACTGCTATCCAATTACAACCCGTTTTCGCTCAACGGATATGAAACACCCATGCTTTAGCACCTGCCGTTGCACCGGTTTAACTTGGGGAAGTGGTGATTTGGTAGCAGTGGGTGGCAAAGTGGCTTTGTTACCTATTCCATTAGGAACCACAGATTTTTTGGTACATCACATTCTTGCATTAAGACTGACTCTCTCCAAAATAAAAGCAGTTAGAATTCTTGAGTTAATATTTTTCCGCATTTATGAGAAGCAATCAAACATAAATACATTATTTAGTGCATAAAAATCTACTACCCATACAATAACGTCAATAAGAATGAAATCCCAGAAAAAACGACTAGCATACAAAAAGCAATCTAGCACACGTGCATTCAAAGGCGTAAAGTCAAATTCTCGAAAGTTATTTTCCATAGATATAAAACTTCATGAAGCTGTACACAGCTAGGATAATCCAGAAATAACAATCCTTGAACCAAGGAGAATTAGAAAGCCTTTCAGATTAAATTTAAAGACCAAAAAGAGTTTCCCAATTGTATAGTAACAATTTCAATGACAACACGAATATAGGATCCATGTCTCTGTGGACCAGTAAATCTATATCAGAAAACTTTCTACTCATTAAAGCTAAACACAAAACTTATATCAGACATGCTTTTGTGGAAGATAGGAACCATATTCTCGTAAGTTATAGGAACCATATTCTTGTAAATTATAGCATCATCGTTATCAAAACCAGAACAAGAAGTTTGTCATTGCAATTAAATTCAAATGCTTACCAATGTGTAAGGATGAAAGTTGATAACTAAAATCTTCCAAGACAGGAGCTTCAGTGGGCGTGGTCACAACAAAATGAATGATATGCCACTCAGTCAGAATTTCTTGAATCATTGGGACTAGCTCAAGCTTTATTCTAGAAGCATCATCATGTGACATGTGGATCTACAAAAGAAAAGCGAGTTTTGCACTCATCCATGTAATCAAAATGCAGTCAAGCTTCGTCACTAACCAACAGTGTAATTTTGTCAGCAATGTTCACCAGGGAAGCAAGTATTACATTTAAAATAACCCAAAATTCCTAGAGCATGAACCAACAAAAGTAGACAAAGTGAAGGCAGACGTAAGAAAGAGGATGAACCTAGACAAACGGTAATAAGCTGTTCGCTTATTATAGTTCTATGTTTAACTACTGTATATAATACAAATGGGAAAATCTCCAATGTTCAACATCCATTAGGATTTCAAATACTCTTTTATATGACATCTTATACCATCATGCATCATGGGCACTTAAAACCGAAACCTGTTTGACAAACAAAAATGTTAACTGGGAAGTGCACCAACTTTTCATCCCTAATACATCAGCTTTATCTTTCACAATTGGTTGCTGATTTCATACTTTGATACAATATTGTGCGTAAGATGAAGCATGGTTAGCCAGTCAAATCATCCTGTTCTCACCTGTGACAATGTAAGAGGCATTTATAAACGATTCACAAACAAACTCACCCAAAACTGGGGGCACAGGGGAAAAAATAATTGTGTTAGATGTACTTCCACTTAAGCTTAGGCAACTAATTCTAGAAGCTTAAGACATTAGCCAATTTGAGTATTAACTAGCCAGATTAGAGCTTCAAATTTACCGAACCTAAAAGCTCAAGCTTTAAGATCTAACTGGGCTAAGTGGAATCCAAAATCGTCTTCAAGTATAAACTTGATTTATTTAAAACACAAAATGTTGGAATTACCTAAAGAAACAAGGCTTTACTCATCAACTCAGCATCTTCCAGAGTATTGGGATATAACCACTAACTGGATATGCTTATCACTATGACATATACATGTGAACTCATGCCTTTAATGTGAAATCAGAACAAAATAGAGATGATAATGTTAGATTATACAAGCCAAGCTCACACCATAAGTGACCTAAATAGCAAGCTCAATCCTAAATCCTATTGTTAACTGAACCAATGGTGTCTATCTTAAGCAAACAAGCAGAACCTTGGTTGATTTGCAGCTTTTAGCTCTCTGAGATCAGAGCTAAACCCTTCCCTCGTACCAAGGCATCCTTGAATACTATAGCAGCTTGACCTAAACAAGGATTTTTAGATAAGGAATAAGAAAAATAATTCTTAACCAGATATTGCTAAATCAAATTTATCGCATACATTTTGGCATATCAAGTCTAGTAGCACTGGATCACTAGTAAGCGGAAGCTATCAGACATCCTACCATAACACTACATCATGGGTTAGAACCACAGAAGATATAGATATTTAAAACACACACAAGGAACATCATCCAAATAATTCTTTCTGCATTTGAATTCACCCCATCAGTTCCCAGGATGTAAAACGAAGACATCAATTAAAGAAATGATCTCTCAAGGAATCGCATAGTTTAACTTTGGAACTTAAAAAAAGCACAAACTGGGATAGTGTCAAACATTGTACAGTTTGAACTTCTACTAACCTTCCCATTTAGGTTAACCATGTAAGTCAGCAGTACGAGTAATTCAAGTGCAGATTCAAACATGACTTTAGCAACTTGGGAAGTAGCCTGCACTGCAGCAAAAATATTGACATTTAGGATTGCTTGAAAATCCATTTTGTGGACGATTTTTCGAGGCACTAGAAACCTTAAATAGCTCTGAATGACATCCAAAACTCTGCCCCATGAAGTAGCTCTAGAGCGCAATGCATGAAGAGAGAGAAACAGATCCATAGAAAATTTCCTCAAATTCTTGTGATTTGCCGCTTCCTTTTCCCATGCAATATCAGCTCCAATTTCTGAGACATGCACTGACACTATCGATGCACTGTATCCTGTTTCTAAAATCTTCAGCAAACAAGGAAGAACTTCTTCGCATGATATATTTGGTGTGTTACGTAGGGACTCATAAAATATAGCTGAAGCAGCTTTGCCCAACTGTTGGCTCACACTGCTAATGCACTGAAGTACCCCAAAAAGAATCTCTCGGTCAAGTTCATCATTGGAAAATTCAGCTCCAGAACTAGTAGAATTCCCACTTTCGTCAAAAGAACCTGATACAAAGATATTAAGAAGGTGCTTGATAAAAAACAGACAGTGAATATCCAAAGAAGTCTAGTCAAAAAGCTCATGCAGATGATTGAGAACTAGAAGTAAAAGAAATTCAATTTACCATAGATGAAAAGCTCAATGTCCTCCAACATTCGGCATAGAGAGAACATATTCTTTCTGATCAAACCAACAGCACCAGTCGATGAATCAAGAAATAAACCACAAACTGCATTAGTTTTGCACCAATTATGGCTATACTGGGCACAAAACGTTTTCCACCACTGTAATACTGGAAGAGGACTTCCAGAACATCCCTACAACGACAGAGATTCTTATCAGCTATCTTAAATTTCCCTTCCTTTTATTTATTTATTTATTTTTAGGTGGTCAAAAAGAAAAAGATTCACAAGGCAACCTCATTCTCAATGAGTGACTGGATTTCATTTTTCAGTCCATCCACAGTAAAGGAATCGAACTCAGAATCAGTAAAGTGCTTGTTGTAATACTGTAATGTTGTCCGAAGGACAGTGCTGTGATACACCCCAGGAAGAAGCAACCTATGTAAGAATATCGAAGAAACAATTTGGGAGATTTGATCCTGAAAAGGAGAGAATTTTCATGGACTCATTGTTAGCTATAGAAAAGTTGTCATCAACTACTAGGCCATGTGGGGATAAAAATTTGAAACTATTTTACAAGTGAGGAAAAGATAATAGAAACAAAAATTGAAACCTAAGAAATTAGCATGAAGCAATACAAAAGTACTCTAATTAAGTTCCACAACAAACCCGAAGCAAACTGCTCTTTTTTTTTTTTAATTCCTGCACCCAGGTTCAAGCTATGTAGGATAATGTCACCAAGAGTTACATCTCTTTCAAAGACAAAAAAAAATTCTTTTTCTCAAAGAAAAGGGCAGAAAATCATATATTGCAAACATCTAATCAAGTCAAACTATAGAATGCAAGGTTCCTAAATTCAGTGGAATAAAGCTGAAAGCTGATGAGAGGAATTTACTTCTTAAAGATCTGTATAATCGTTTCCACAAAAAAAAAAAAACATACACACACACACACACACATGACTACTGCACTGACCATTTGCAAATTCTCAAATTCCAATTTAACCAACTCATGACAAAGTATCTCTTCATTCAATTTTTTTTTTTTTACCATGTAAAAGAAAAGAAAACCACTGGCACTATAGTTGGAACCAATATGACCTCAAATTGTAATGTAACTCATTAATGACCTCAACAGATATATTTAACCTCCACAATCTGAATAACAAGCTCGGAAAATGACAAAAATATTTCACTCTACTGAAAACTTCAATGCAAAGAGAATAATAAAACAGCAATTGCCAATGGCTACAAGCTCATATTCATTTGAATGGAGGAACTGCAGAACACTGAATCATCACAAGATTCAATAAAGGGGACTACAACCCAATTTATAGAACTTGTGAAACCGGTAGAACCCAAAACCCTTTCAATTTGTGAAGTACAACCCTTGCTCTAATAATCTAAAACTATACCTTCTAATTGTCTACAACTTGTCAACAAATATGTCATATATATCACCAATAAATTTGCAAGCAACATCTGTGTTTCCATAACTAATACCTTTAGGGACTCTTTTTCCTTTGTTGCGTCAAATTTTTCAATGGGTTCTCTTCATATACAAGGTCTTAGTCCTTTAAGATGTTCTAATGACCCAAACATAAAGCGTGTTGTAGACGGCACAAGACTTAATCTATGTTTGATTTGGAAAGTATAGATATGCATATCATGACAAATGAGAATGTCTACAACTATATATATAACCATATATGAGAAGATTCAGATACGTATAATTACATAGATCCACAACTAGAACAGATACAAATTTTTCTAAAGCTATCTCATAAAATTGCCAGAAGTTCATTCATTGATCAATGACACGGTCAAGCAGATCAGCAGAACTATATCCAGATATATATATATATATATATGTATATATAACCATATACGAGGAGATTCAGATACATATAATTACATAGATCCACAACTAGAACAGATACAAATTTCTCTAAAGCTATCTCATAAAATTGCCAGAAGTTCATTCATTGATCAATGACACGGTCAAGCAGATCAGCAGAACTATATCCAGAAAGCCATTATTTTAAAGCACCTTTGAAGATGAAAAAACTGTATGGGCTAGCCAAAGGATTTCATCTGCAAAATGTTCAGAACTCTGAAACAGCTGATCAGCTACAAATGCTTCTTGCAAGCCGTATGAATGTGTGACTGCCCTAAAATCATGAAAGTTGCAAAATCACACTTCACATAGAAATGAGCATCTGAATGCTAAAGGAAAAGTAACAAATGTACTGAAATGACAGCAAGTTTCTACGCATCAATGTAATCACAACCACATTTGAAGTGGTACAATTTTCCAGATTTACGAGTGTCAATAGAAAAAGGTCCAAGCTTAAGTAAAACTAAATCATATCTAGTGAGTGCAGCGCATTGTATGAGTTAGATCGCAAAAAGACACAAAAGGAGTTCGAGAAGGAAGTTATACTTCGTAATTTGAAAATGAAGCACCACATGCCAGAAGAATGCGGAACAATAACATAAAAAACTTTTATCAGTGAATCCTTTCTTCTATATATTTCTGTTTCTCTCATAATATTTCTTTAACTACATATCAAGTCTGTGGCAGCAGCCTTGTAATAGCAAAGTAATATGTAGAAGGGTTCGCTACATATCAAGCCTAAGGAAGGTTTCATGATATAAAAGGTCAACCAAGGAACCAATAAAGGGACACAATGAAGTTTCATCAATTCCTTTAACAGGAAGAAAAGATAGAAAAAAATATAACAGTTAATTCAAACATCATCCGCAAGCATAATGAACACCATATATCAAAGAAGACTTAATGCTATAAAAGATCAATGAAGAAATGGGTGAAGGGGCACAATCAAGTTTCATCAATTTCTCTCACAGGAAGGAAAAAGACAAAGAACTGTAAACAGTTAAACATCACTCCCCAGCATCTAAAAACTTACTCTTTTTGGCAGAATAGCTCCTGCATGAGCAATCCATCTTCTTTTAGTATCCAAACTTTGTCTGAAGTAAGTATGACATCAACAGGTCCACCCTGATTGAGTACAAGAGGGAGACAGAAAATTGGAAACATTAAGTTAGAGAATAACAAAGTGACGGGGAACCCTAAACAAGGGTAACTCACATACCTCTTCTAGAGTGATGTCTGTTATCAAAGGTTCTAGTGTGAAAATCATCTTGTCCCCAAAACCCAAATTAAGGCCATAAAAAGATATCATCTCAACTTCCTGAACATTTAGTAATGCAAAGCAAATGTATATCATTAAAGAATTTTAAAAGGGGAGATTCTATGAATATATAATAAGCTCTCACAATATCATCAACCAATAAGGATATCAAAACAAGTATCAACGAAATACACAGCCCACAACCAGGTACTTCAGTGGCTGAATAAAAAGAATGACAGGAAGAAGCAAGCAACCAGGGTCTTCAGTCATTGTTCTAACCACAAGACAGACTAGTGACTACTGATACCGATGTAACTTGACTAAAATGGCTTAAAGTAAATGGGTCCAATTCAAAACCTGTTTAGCAAAGTTTAATCACAAAATCACCAAGGATTACTCGAGTTAAAGAATTTTCTCCATGTTATGACAATAATGTAGAAAATATACTTGAGTGCACATAAAGCAATAAGGTAAGGTCATAGAAACACACAATTTTGCACATAAATGACATCCGCAATCAGCAGATGTTTCTGTTATATATTTAGAGCATAATTTCATCAGACTTGTTCACTTGATACCCCATAAACTAAAAGCATGTTGTTGGGCTAAGCAACATTTGACATGGTCTTGATTCAATAGCCCATGCAGATGTTCATACCCAAAGGAAAGGGAAGAGCACAAGAAATGAAACCATGCAAACAATACAAGTAATATTGATTATTCTAAAATTACGTACCATACTATTCTTATGTAGAATTGCCAACGGAATTATATTCATTGCCCTGTTATCATCACCCACCCATAATTTGAGAAATATAGTTCCTGAAGACAAAACACAAATTAAGTTTCACATGACAAAACATTCCAAAAATCTAAAAATGGAAGTATTAGTATCACAAGAAAATCAGAGATTAGATAACAAATAAATATCTACAAAGTGAATAAATGGGCATAAAACCGCGTCAGAACCCAATTCTGAGAAAGTCACCAATATATCAGGACTTCACCCAAGGAAAATCTCTAAAATTCTGCAAACATATTTCAAATTTAAACCTAAATTCACTCTATTTTTCCACCTTTGGTGCCTTAAGAAGGAGGTGGATGATATAAACAACTTTTATGTGCATGCATGGTAGAAACTAGAAAAGCATGCACCCAGAGCTTGCTAAAGCCTTGAGTAGTTTTGCCTTTTTCAAAGTTCATATTCCTAAACCTCCTGTAACTGTTGCCGTTGATAAATTAAAATATAAAATCCAACTTTGAAATCTAGCTTCCTAGTGTCAGAAGTTTGTGAGGAATGAACTGCCTTCATCCAGAAGATTTGTGGGCGAAGAAAAAATGAGAACCAAAGAGTAGGAAGGAGGCATTTTGTGAGATTTATAGGTCAAAAAATTACAAGGCAAGATCACAGTCTTTCTACTTTTAAACCATGTGGAATATGGCAATCTTTCCTTTTGTTCGTATCAACTGCTTTTACCACTTTAAACTGAGTTCAAGACATTCCTTAATGTTTGTCCTCTTCCTTTTGCTTTCAAATGAGAAGTGCTACATGGAAATTACTTTCACAAAATTCATGGATGAACAACTCTTGATGCTTTATACACTAAGCTTACAAGTTATCCAGCTAGTAGAATAATCTAAGAGAAATGGATAGAACAACCGGCTGATACAACATAACAAGTTAAGATTGTAAACTTACCTGTAACTGTTGGAACAGTAATAGCATGACTGAAAATTTTGCTCCGGTTTGCAAGGTCCCAAGCTCGAAAGATCCCATCAGAATGAAGCACAAAAATAAGCTTTCTCTGGTGCACCTCTACAACTGCCAAATCCTGCACAGGAGCTGAAATCCTGCTCCTGTGACCATTTAGGATTTTTTTGAATATGCAAACTTAAAAATAAAACTGATTTATATAAAATAATCAAATTGCAACAACCTATCAGTTGTGTTATTATCTTGTAAATAAGTAATTTGAAGGTTTCTCAACAATTCAACCAAGAAACAACCCAGAGGCATTTGGTCCGTCCTTGCCAACAGCCTACAGCTGTCAAAGATTACAAACCATTGACTAAATCTAAGTGTGTTTATATGCTTGCTAAGGTTTTGGAATAGAGAGGCAAAGGAAGAGATGGAGAGAGACAGAGATTGAGAAAGAGAAAGAGAAAGAGAAAGAGGGAGGGAAAGTGAAACATTAGTGGCTAAGACGGAGTGACCCAACTTGCGGGGAGAATTTTGCTCAGACTTCAATATTCTTGCTCAGGCACATTGCTAAGCAGTAAGATCCCAAGAAAACTTTTAAAAGGTAAATATTCATAATATTGCACTTGTATACATGCAAAATATAAGGTAACAAGCAACACATTCTCATATAAGATTACCACTTTAAAGGCCATATCTATAAGATTTGTCAAAAGATTTATTAGCCATTTCCCCCAGCCTTCCAACACTTTAACTATCGAAGATGATTAAAGGTGAATGTGATGCCTATTAATGTTTTACCGAATTTCTCCAATTCCAAGTCATTCTGGTCATAAAAAACAAAAGAATCTAACAAGCAGAAGCCACAAAAGTAGGTGAAAGATCCAAAATAGACAGCTACTTACATGTTGAATGCCAATACTCAGTGAAGCTGAGAGTGCACTTCAGAGAACTATCAGACCAAAATTAATTTGGCAGGAAACCACAGGGAATACCTAATCATTCTAAGCATGCAGGATCCAGTGTAGGAGACAACAAAAAGTCAATTTAACAGTTCTGTCTCTTAGTGCCAGCAGTGTGTTATGGTGACCCTAAACATGCTGATCTTAAACAGATAAGAATGAATTACAAGAGCACGGTGTTTACATGGAACTAAAGCTTCCCTACCCCCAAATCGGCATGTATTGGCAAGCAAACAGACATCAATAGAATAGCTTGAAAAGGGAATGTCATTTGAGGAATCTTCTTCCTTGTTGCTAACAATAGATGCATCAGAAGAATAATTTTAAAGGAAATGCCAATTATGCCATCTTCTTCCCTGTTGCTAATCATGGGGAAAGAGAATCCATAAATGCATGGATGATCTTGCACAAGTATAACTAAAAGGAGATTTAGCGGTTTTTCTTAGCAGGAGTAAACTAATGTGATTCCAAACATTGAGATCGGACCATGGGGGGAAGAGCAAGGTGAATTTGCTTGAGGTGACATAGGTTAGAAAACATGCATCAGGAATAGGATAATGTAAATTATCTACCTGATCCGTGATTTCTTGCAAAACATTATTTGTTTGCATCATAAACACATTTTTCAATTACTTTTTCACCTTCCCAAGCACCTTTTTATCTCACATACATCATGTCACAAAAAGTGCTACAGTAATTTTTCCAAAAAATTTTTCAGATAATTTTCAATCCAAATGCAAACATATCTTCTCCCAAAGAAATAGAGAAAAGCACTTAAGTGACAAAGAATTTATGGAGGATCTAATAGTGGATCCTGCAGAAAAAGGTGTTCCAGCTCAATATTCAAAAGCAGAATCCAGAAGGATGTTTTCAAGCCTCCATTACATAAAATTAAATTTCAACAGAAAAGTTAGTGCCTTTAGATTTTCCATGTGAGAAAGAATCATAATGAAACAATGGCTACTTTTTAAAATGTCAAAGGCACTGCTGGATTTTGAAATGACTGCCTAAAGAGAAAGGGGAAGGGGGTAGGTTTAACCATTCTGTCCATAAGGAATCAACAAGAAGAACACCACATGTAACATCAACAAAGGAAAGAAAAGGCAATTGGTGCATGAGATGTCTCTAATGTTTCTGAAGTAAGTACACTCTAAGACCACGCTGCAGAAATAAATAAACCAACAAAAAAAAAAAATCGGATAAAATTGCCATAGCACAACATAATTCGTGTAGAAAGTCAGTACCTTGATACTATACCCCACAATCGCCCAAAACCAGCATCATCCCGTAGCTCCCACATGAAGCCTGAACAGAAGAGTTAAAAAGATGGTAGAAGTTTAAGAAACAGGTCAAGTCTGAGAGGAGATGAAAAATGAAGACCCATACTCAGCATTATTAGCAGAAAGATCAAACTTTTGCCATGCACACTCAAACATGAGAATCTCATCCATTTGGGAAACCTTATCCAAGTTTTCGCACTTTTGGTTCCATATATAAGAACTAAGTCCTAGAGAAAGTAGCCCATACAGCTATGCAGAGAACTGGAAAATGACACATGATGTACACCTGGAGCTGTAGCATCGAGCAAGCCAAGTTGAAAACAACCAATAGATCCATCATTTCTCCCAACTATGAGACATCTGGAAGAAGCTGCTGCTGCTGTTATGACTCCGCATTGTGGATTAGCTTGTGTATTATACTCGACAACCTCATTGGATGCAACAACTGAGGAAGAAGCATATTTGTGAAGTCCTTTGAGTTTTACAAGGAAGGCAACACCATTAACCGTCACGGTATAAAGCAAGTAAGTTTTCTCGGAACCAAAATTGCTCTGCAAATAAAAGGAAGTTTCTTTGAATCTTAAATTTCAAAATCACAACAAAAAAGAACCATTATTTTACATATGAAACTAGTAAAAAAAAAAACTAAACCTCATCCTGTTGTATATAAACAAATGGAAAGAGGGCGTCCGGAAATGAAATCTGCAGTCCAATCTTTGGGAATTCTTTGTCACCATAAACCTCTAATATTTCAAGAACATTTGGCTGACCCTTGCTAGTTTTCCTGTAGTACAAAAACCAACACTCCTATTGTTCAAATGGGGAAAGAAGACGAGAGAGACTTGAAACAGCAATCGGAGATACCAGAAAATTTAAGAGTACAAAAGCAGCATAGAGGATTTTAAGCGTTCCATCATCCATATATTAAAGAATCTAAACAGTTAGCCATTCCTTAACTACTAGTTTCAAGTGCAACTCTAAAACACAATACTCTAAAATCTATGCAAAAGGATTAGATTCCAGGGGGAATTGCAAACACCAAGATGCTGCATTTTTATAACTAATTGCAATAGACACTCGCATGCTACAGATGAACTAATATCCATTATATTAAAAACAATAAAAAAAATATTACCTCTTTCAAAGAACATAAAGTACATAAAGAGAATTTCAGAACTAACTAAAATAACCAATGCACAATGATAATGCAAAACTACATTGTGTGCAAATTATACGAAAATCTAAAAACAAAATACCACAAATTTTTGAAAGCCACAGCAAAAGGGTTTACCAAATGAGATAAGTAGGAGGATTTCCAATAGCAGAACAGGACGCGAAGTCTCTACTGAGAGTAGTAGCAGGAGCGGATGTCGAAGAAGCCGAAGAAGATGAATTAGACGGAACTGAAACTTGAAACCACTTGATAGAATCGCTGCCGATTATTGGGACCTCCATCCCTGCTAAACATGACCGTCCCACCATTATCTCTTCTAGTTTGCTCTTGGATTTCTATAGTAATTGGACTTCGGGAAGATTGTTGGGTTTCAGAAAAAGATATAGCATGTGAGTTTGGGCTCGTTTTACTGTGTGACTGTGTGTAAAAGAGATGTAAAGAGGCGTAGAGCGGCGGCGGGAAGTGGGGAGTGGGGCGGACGGTGGAGGAAGAGGAAGTTGCGGTGCAGACTGTGGGAGGGAGAATATGTGTTTTCGATTCTTAAGAGAAGGGTTAATTCCACTTTAGCCCCTCCAACTATGCACAAAATCCCATTTCAGTCCCTAAACTTCAAAATGGTACACTTTGTCCCTAAGCTACAAGGCCCGTCTCAGCAACATTTTTTGCGGAATCCGGAAATCCGTCTCAATGACAGAATATTGAGCGACTTTTTTTTCATTTAATGATATTTTGGTATTATTGAGCGACTTTTTTTCGATTGGTAGTTAGAATAACAAATTAGAAAATTTTAAAATTATGAAACTAGATTTGATAAAATTGGAATTAATTTGGGGAACGAAGGGTTGAATGGTACGGATGAGAGAGTATAAGTGAGAAATACCTAATTTAAAACTTCCCACTTACCAAAAAAGAAAACTAAAATTAATTCAAGTAGAATAATTTGATTTGGTTTTCACTTTGCTTATGGTCACAAACTTATTACCTGTTTGGTTTGCCATTTTTGAAGAAAATCATTCTAAACGTCCCCCATATTTTGTAAAATGACTTTTTTCGTCCATCACTTTTAAAAATATACTTTTACTTTTAAATATGTAATTTTACATTCCTTACAAATTCATATTGGTCAATTTTGGTTCCTAACTAGATTTCCAACTAATTTTTGTAGGAATCCACCATATGTCTTGCACTTAATCATTTTTTAAGAGCAAAATTGTCGAATCGAAATTTACATAATCCGATCTATAGTCCCTCACATTTTATAAAGTGAAGTTTTTCGTCCATCATATCTCACAAAATGAATTGTTTTACCCCTCACATTTTCACAAAATGAAGTTTTTCATCCCTCATATTTTAGAAAATAAATTTTCATCCTTCATTGATCATGTGTACGAATAACTTTTTTTTAAACTCATATATATATCTATTTAATTTCACTTGATTAATACGAATAACATGTAATATATCTCTACATATTTCATCTGAACATACTATTCAGGTGAAATTAAATAGATATATATGTAGAGGTTTAAAAAAATTGTTAGTTTTTCAATCATGTTCATTTCATTTTTCTCGAAAATTGAAAACAAAGAAGATATTTAATTCTAACCATTATCAAGTATTTACATTGAATTAAATTTGGACATAAAAAATAAACAAAGGAAAAGTATGACAAAAAGAAATAAGTGATTGACACTTTCAAATTTTAAAACAATCACAAGATAAAAAATTCAACTGTTGGTCTTAAAGGTGACGAGTAAAAATTTCAGATTTAAACTGTAATTTATTAGCATAACTATGAAATTCGAGTTATGACCGATTAATTAGATGACCTTATTATACAACTCAATAAATGAATTATTACAAAAAAAAAGATTGCAAATATTGAATAGATTTACATGGTGAAATCAAATAGATATATATATATATATATATATATATATATGGGTTTAAAACAAAATTGTTAGATTTAAACCAATGTATCTATCTATTGAATAGTATATATACAACTACAATTAATCTGTTTTGGTGAAATCAAATAGAGATCTATTATATAATATTCGTACTGTTTAGATGAAATCAAATAAATATATACATGAATTTTAAGAAAAATATTTGTATACATGGTCAATGAAGGATGAAAAAATTCATTTTGTGAAATACAGGAGAAGAAAAAAATTTATTTTGTGAAATATGAGGAACGAAACAATTCATTTTGTGAAATACAAATGACTATAGATCGGATTATATAAAATTTGATTGTTAATTTTGTCCCTAAAAATGATCACATGCAAAGCACATGATAAATTTCGATAAAAAATTAGTCAAAAATATAGGTAGAAATCAAATTTGACAAATGTGAATTGATAAGAGACGCAGAATTACACTTTTAAAAATTAGAGATAAAAAAATCATTTTATAAAATGTGATGGACATTTTGAATAATATAGCAATTTGATTATGTCAAGTAATAACATAATTGAGAAATACATTCACGAAAATGTAAAAAGTTTTTAGTGCAATTTGATTCATGGTGTTGACATTAAGAAATGATTTGTTTTTTTTTTCTCCCTTTTGATTGTAGCAAATACTAGTAACATTTATACTTTGACGCCAAACAAAAACAAAAAAAGAAAGAAAGTACGCCCTTACATTGATTTTATAGCTTTAATAGTTTTAAGGGATAATTTCAGAAACCTCCCCTGAGGTTTCTAACAATCTCACAAAGCTCCCCTTAATATTTCAAAACTACACGTACCTCCCCTATTGCTGCAAAAGTACTCTACTACCCCTATATAGGATACTTAATGATATTTTTTTTCGAAAATTTCAGAAATTCCAAGAAAAATCAAAATTGACTTATTCTATCTTTCTTTTTCCCTCACGCTTCCTCCTTTCTACCTTACTCTTTTTTTTCATTTTTTTTTTTGCTAAATTCCTGTCACCCATTCCTCTCTACCTAATATTTTTCCTCCAATTCAAGACCAAATTTTATTTATCATCCCTTGCCCGTATTTATCCTTCTCCTTCCCTTCTTGTTCCTCTTTTTTTTTTTATCTCTATTCTCATCTCTTTTTTGCAAATATGATTAAGTTCAATCTTGTTATCCTTTTAATTCTAAGTGTAATGGGTTTGATTTTTCTGCGTCTATCTATTTTATCCAATGTTGGTGATTATGGATGATAAAACTTAGTAATGTCAAAAGTCAAGAATTTGAGGGATGATTGGGCTTTGGAAATGGGTGGTTAAAAAAAAATAAAGGAGGCTGTAAAGAGAGGAAGACGAAAGAGCTGCGCTATTGATTTCTGATGAAGTGTTAGTTTTGGATAAAATTTGAGATCGAGTTTTATCTAACTTAGCACCAAGTGACTGATTTAATTGACTTGTGTAGTAAATGTAGAGGTTGGGACTATTGGACATAAATTAGGTTTGTAGTGTTTTGAGTGCTAGAATTATTGGAATTTATTTTGATTTAAATTGGAGTATTTTCTTGACTTTTGTGGTGGTGTTGCTTGGAAGAAAGCAATCATCATAGTTGAAATTTTTTTCCAAATTTTTGTTTTTGGCTGAAAGAATTTGTTGTTTTGGTGTTAGAAGAAAGGAACAAAGCTCTTTACATTTTTCCTTTTTATCTTTTTGACAAGAAGGGTAGTTTAGGATATTTGAAGGAATTGGTAACCTATTGAGCCTATTTTGAAGCATAAATAGTGAAAGCAAGGGAGGTGAGTGAAAATTTTAAAGCCTAAGGAGAGCTTCCTGAAATTGTTAGAGACCTCAAGGGAGGTTTCTGAAATTATCCCTAGTTTTAAATTGTATCCAAGTGAAACTACCCAAGCAAACAAATCTGAGCCTGACTGACATTCTAAGGTTGACAGCCCAAGCAAACAGATCTGAGTTTAAAGTGGGCCTCGAAAATGATTTCAGTTTGTTATCGAGTTCTAGTGGCCTTTCATGCATGCAAAGATAGGGCATGGAGTAGGAAGCCACCTTGTCCGCGCAACACCACACAGCACAAGAAATCACTTGCAGGATATGCATTTGTTCTCAGGCTACAGACATGATTTATAAAGATAGCAAAACAGAATGTGTGGCCCTTTAGCCATTGTGAAAGTTCATTTCAACAAATTGGTAGCAGACTGTTCATCTTCAAATTCTAGTGTTTCAATGAATACATGGTTGATCTCATATATCATACATACATACATATTGTATATAATCACATTTCTGGAACAATAAAAGAGATGTCTGTCTGTTTCTTCTTCAAGCTTTTAGTCCCTTTCTGTCAGGACCACCAAAGCTGTCTTCAAGGTTTTCGTTATGTTCCCCATCTCCTACATGTTGCTTTAACCTCCACCATATCCAAGACTCAAAATTGACAGCAGTATCAAAAATCACAATCTACAGGTCACAGAACAGGCGGCAGCAATGATGTCAGTAGGATAAAGTCATGGTTTCCAAGGAGCTGGTGGAGGCGGTGGAGTTGGAAACATAGGCGGGACTGCAGAGAATATTGTATTCTTGTCAACTCCAACACTTTTTTCACCAGATAAAGCAACTAGGGCAGCAACAAGACCAGCATTGCCTGCTAGCGTAGGTTCTGTGTAATTATAGTTGGTACGAACATCATGAAAACCATCAAACTTGTCTGGACCAGCAACCATGGCTCCAACCAGAGTATTTGGATTCGGATTCCGAGAATCTCTCAACTTCCATCCTCCTTTACAATTATACTTGATCTTGTTCTTCGGGATTGATGCCCCTCTATGGTGAACGCGTCTAGGATAATGATTTCCAAAACCCACAACATAGCTCATCTTTCTAGGATTCTTTCCGAGGATGTAATCAATCTAAAAAGGAGCAAAAAATTACTTTTTTTAGTTTCAACAAATTAAAACATTTATTGGATTCTTTTAATAATTTTCTCTTGCCTAGTGGTCAGAATGGCAGGAAGTTACTGTTACAATCTCCATAAATCATGAGGAATTCACATTTAAGGAGTCCAGTATAGCACAGATCACAAAATGCAGAGAAAAGATTTGACAAGACAAGCATTCCCTCAATTAAGTCGGACAGAAAGGGAGTATAATGTACCTGGGTTTCAGCGAATTGACGCAACACATCTGTGGAGTAAAAATTGGGTCCACAATACCACCCAGGGGTATCAGCAGCTGCAAGATAATCACTGAACAGAGCGGCCAGGAAAGCGGCATTGGCCACATACTGAAGAGGCTGAGGCCTACCATGGTTTAATTGGATCAAACCTCCTGCAAGAGATAGAAAGTAACTAAACCAGAACCCAGACTCTTAAACATATACCATTAACATACTAATCCGTTACAAATGTTTACCTCTTGTTCTGTTAAAAGATGTGAACAATGGCAGGTATGAGCACATGACTATGCTTGTCTGGTTGTGAAATGTCCTCAGAATTTCCTCATAGGGATAGCCAGGGCTTAGAAACAATCTCAAACGGCTAAGAAGCACCTAAACAGAAAAAGCTAAAAATTAAT